CAAGAATGGAACTGATAATCCCCTTGCAGGCAATTAGACTGACCTTATAATAGAATAATACCAAGCAATGGAAATGAGGTTTATAAATTGATTTTAATAAAACAGGCCAAGTCCTTATGAGGTTTTGCCTCCAAATGATTATATTCTCTTATTAGGAAACAGGAAAAATTTGAGAATCAATACACCCAGCTTTTCAAAAGTGGGCCTACATTTTTTTAGACATAAAAGCCTGACTTGGTGAGCTCTCCCATTTTAGTGTTCTAATAAATGAAAACAATAAGTGTTCAACATCCAACAATCCAGATGACTATGCTTGCATCCAGGAAAATGATGATATTCTGAAAGAGCAAAAGATCAATCATTGTAACTCACTGCACCATTAGGAAGAACAAAATTAGCTCTAGTCATAGATGTACTTTGATAATGAGGACAGATCCATTCCACATCCATATCCATTGTTGATTCTCAAGGCATGGATGACATCCAATTTGCTAGCAGCAAGATGCCCTCCAAAAACTCCTGATTTAGTGAACTAAACTATACTGAACTATACTGACTCAATGAAGAAAAATAATAAGGGTTTTGGTTTTAATGATATGTAATAATGTTGAGCCAGTCAACTCTCTTCAATAATACCCTTACTCTTACATTTCCTCATTTTAAGTGGTTTTAATCCAGATTAGTGACCTTGAATTCTAATCTTAGTCATAAAATGGCAATCACATAGCTTCTATTTCTTGTAATCATTTCATTTCAAAGACTTAGTAAATGCATTTGCATTACCAAACCAATATTTGGTTTTCATCATCATCCATGCTTTGGAAATGTCATATTCATGATTAATGATTCCTTTCTTTTTATATAATGCTATTTCTTTATTGCAATGTAAAGGGTTGAATCCCATTCTTGCTTACTTCAATGTTTCAGATGCATACATGTATATGTAACATCCATCATTTGTAATCTCTTATATTACTACAAGGTAGAATGCAATGCAGTAAATAGTAATGGTGTGGGTTAGATAAGGTGAAACTCATTTATTTCAAACAATTCTGAAACCAGTTCTGAGATTTACCTATACAGAAAAAATACATGCAAAATCCTGCTTATATGTTGATGAACCGGGTCCACCTTAAGGTTTTGGGATGAAGGAATGTCACGGGTAGGATGATCATCTCAACTGTAATTTGTACTTTGTCATCATAATCTTTGATGGCAAGACATTTATATTAATGTACATTTACAGATGAAATGAGCTGCATCAGACAATCTGAATTGCAAACATCTCTTTATCATCAGGTTTCATTTAGACAAATTGAAAGATATTTTGTACACTAATCTTCTGGTCATCTTACAACCTTTCATGTGTCTGTAAGAAATGTCACCTCAATCATAATAATTATGGAGAGCTCTCCGAAGGTTTTTCCAGTTGATGGATGGTCAGTGTGCCAATTTTCTCCGATCAGTACAAGTCTATTTCCAATATTTGAAATGGATGCAGTGATCACTTGTTTCAATGGAGATCACTGGTATACAATAATAAACTAAAATGGGAAGAATATGCTAGAAATAATAAGTCAACACATGTAAAAACATGATATTTGTCCTCTTCATAAATTACCTTTATTACCTCTTTTCTTATGTTTTTAAGAACACCTTTTGATTTATCAGACTCCTTCTTTATTTAAAGCTTGTATCTACCTCTGTTCTAAAGATACTACAGGCTGATGCTGTGGAGCATAATTGATAAGAACATATTTTGAAGAGATCAAAATGAAATTGTGTTAAAATGTTGAAAAGGCACAGGTGAACAATTCCATTATCTAAAATCATAAATAGAAACATTAAAATCTACCATACCAGGAAATAACAAATTTATCAATCAAAGTTTTAGGATACACAAGGTCACAAAAACAAGCATCAAAACTGCAAAATTATCTGTTTTTTTCAGAGGCAAGAATTTTACTGCTAGACTCAGAATTTTACATAGAAGAATGGAAGGCATTAGCAGAAGCAGGATCTTAGAACCTAGAATCCTATCAGTTTCTTTGTGCTTGATAACATTTATCAACACCTCCCATGTTTATTTACAAACATCCTCCTATTACAAGTCAACAAATTCCATACTTTTCCAGAGCAATTATATAATATAGAGGACAGAGCAAGGAACAAATACGTAAAAGAAATGATATCACCATTCAACATTATTTTTAACAACAAACAGAAGTATACACTCCAGAACAGAAAGTCCTTAATGAATTTACTTCCATATGAAACTGATATATTTTGCACAGGTCAGTCTGGTCGCTAGGTCAGACTCACATAACAATTCTTCATCATGATGTTCTGTACTGTAGCATTTTTCTATTGTAAGATTTTCTTTTGCATGTTCTATACCACCATGGGATGTACAGCAGCTATCTTAGACTGCTAGAACTGGAAACATTCTTGGAAAACAGAGTGATCAAGTAACAATCTTATCTTACTTTTATATGTAACCTTGTCCCTTCTTATTTGCAGCATGTAAAGTTGATGTAAAGTTAGCATATAGTTAGAGTGTATATGGTATTTGAATATTTCACATTAACTCATTTTTTCCCAATATATCAAATAGGGGGAGGACTTGCAAGGCTAGCTACATCTTGGTTATATCAAGCAGCCATCAGCATTGAGCATAAACCTAGTACAGTACATAAGGAGATAGAGCTACATTTCAAAGCAGCAAATCAAACTATTAGGTACTCTTATAACTTTTACATCACTTCCAAGTTCTCCCAATACCTGATATTTACAGATATTGACAACTGTATCTGATATCTATATTATGACATCAACCATCTTAATTTAAAATTAATTATTTCTATTTCTCTGATAGCATTTAACATAATGGACCCTCATCATTGTGAGTCAATGACTGATGTAATCCCCATTGATATGTGGGCAAGGAGATTGCAACCTTGTGTAAAATACACGAGACATCATCAATGCTTACGATTTTAAGAACATTCACATGTTATATTGGGAGAAAGATTAAATTTGTTCCAATTTGTCCTTATACCTGGTGCATATAATTTAAATACAACTTTGTAACAGCTGAGTGCTTAGCAGGCTAATACTTCAAACATGTATATCCGGGATAAAGAGTATATTATAAAATTATATTATGATTTCCTTAAATCAAACAATTCAAATTATGCTCAGTGATGAAGGCACTAGGCAGCCTATCAACCCAATTACTGTTTTTGGAAAATTTCTGTTCCTAGCCCTATCTTCCACAAACTGCAATGTTTTTTCCTTATTTTCCTTTAGATTTCGCAGTTGGTCCCCAAGAAGGATTGACTCCCAGGATTCCAACTCAATATCTTTAATCTCTAAGCAATTCGTTCAAAGCAGATTTCTTTGGCAAAGTTTGCACAAATGATCTGCAAGGAGAATGGGCAATAATCTAGTGACCATAAATTCATAATCAGCGATCCAAAACATTTGATTTAATATCTTGATCACGTCTTACGTTAGTAAATAAGACTAAAATTGCAATTCAAAATATAAAAAGAAAAAATGGTGGCTGTTTAATTTTGCATTTTGTAATCACGACACAAATCCATATACGGTAGAATATCAAGTTGGAAACCTGGAAACCTGGAAGCCAGGCTTCCTCCGGTTGGTTCCTTCGGATTGGCTAAAAGTCACTTATAATTAAACCTGTACAAATGTGGAACAATGTTACTTCCTGCGAAAGCTATTTGGATTTTGATATAATAGCTTTCCCACGGAGCATTTGGACAGCTGAATGATTGTGACCTTTGAAATCAAATTAAGTCGATCGGCGGCTTACTTTTGGTCTCTAACTGTGTCTTACATCAGTATCATCAATCCGTGTAAGTATTAGAGCGCTGAAATACTTCTTTTTCAATCAAGACTTGTAAATTGTTCATCGAGTGAATGTTTTTTAGACCTATTTCCAATATGGCGGTTTGCTAGGAGCGAGATACGCAACGAACAAAATTAATTTTGAGAATTAGTTAGGTTCGGACAACCTCCGGAGTTTTACGAAAATGTCTGAGCAGAAAACGCCATATTGGAATTTGGCAGTAAAAACATTCACTCGACTAACAATTACAAGTCTTGATTGAAAAGGAAATACTTCAGCGCTCCAATTCTTACACGGATTGATGATACTGATGTAAGACACAGTTAGAGACCAAAAGTAAGCCGCGGATCGACTTAATTCGATTTCAAAGGTCACTATTAATCAGCTGTTCACTTCCCCGTTTGAGAGCCATAAGTTTCAAAATCTAACATGGCTCTCGAAGTGAGTAAGAACAATGAATTTGCACACATTGCTTGTTCCTGGTATTATCAAGTTCCCCTTGGTAGGACTACTCATTCCCCCCTTCACGACCCCTATATCAAGACCAGAAAGAGTTACAAATATAAAACCTTATGACTCTAGATACTTTAAACAGTCAAGTGGCATTTTGACTACATTTTGGGTTTATTTATGCAAATAACACAAAGGTCGACGGCCATATTGGATTGTCATATTCATAACACACCAAAACAAACACTTTTTCAAAACATACACATTCACGAACATACACCACTTAGTTTGATGTAAAGAGAACATTGTGGTGATTACTTATAAACTAATGGGGAACTTACCTTATCATTTGGAATTTGCCTAGAACCCATCTCAACTTCTGGTTGATACTACGATTTTTCAGAGATGATTTTTTTCGAAGCTGAGTTGTACGTTCTGTTCACCAGGTATTTTCGGGCGTATGATCCCATTCGATGATTAAATCCATTACATGTTTCGGTGTGTCATAGTATTATTTCCACATATTTTGTTATTTGAGCCTAATGACGATCCTGTAAGGGGGTCAATAAACGGGATTAATATTTAGAAGAAATTAAAGTTCTTTGATAATGGTGGCTGGAAACGGGAATGCTGGGAGTGACGTCATTACCAGCAGGTGTCGCCCTACATTGTTTTGAAAATGGCGAACGGAAGTGGATGGTGGTTTTCAAATTCTTCACTCAAACAGGTGAATATCTCACTTATTACCCATGATTTCAACTTACTATAAGCTTCTTAATATAGTTATAAACCTATTATATTGATGGTATGTCTCATTTTGTCATTAATTTCAACACAGGGTTTGATAGCTTTATAAAGCTATAGAAGAATAATTTTCTGATTTTTTGAATTTGCATGATGATCATGATCATCATTCAAAAACAACAACAGCAGCCTAGCATTTCTTTGGCTTGCAGCTCCATTATGGCAAAAGGTCCTACAAAGAGAGATTTTAAGGTCTTAGATATGTTAGAATTTGATAATATACTTTAGTCCAACAACATTAGACCTAGCCTGGGCCTCGTTTCTTATCTGACATGTCTTATAGCCCCGGCTAGGTCTAACCTCCATGATCATTTTGCCCTTGATGAGTTAATTTAATCGTTCGGCAGGTTTCGACAAGCAGAACTAATAAAACTCTGAAAACATGGTCATATTACATAAAAAATGTGATTCAAGCATGTATACATACCTTATAAATACATACACACCATCCTGTATCCCCCTTAGACCCTATTGATGCATAATTACGAAAATATCGAAGACAGGTTTGGAATTTTACTATGACGGAGAAAATAGAGCACTGAATACACTGAGGTAAGAATTTATTACATGTGCGACAGCATGTATTTTTCATAGCTATAGTAATTCTTTATGTTCCCCACTGTACTTACTGTATTAGAATTTCCATTTTCCGCCATGTTTGATATCTGTAAAAATAAAATCTAATTGCTGGATTAATTTGCTATGCTGTACAGCCAGCAATAAACTTACCCAGGGGCATAACCAGAAAATGTTAAGGGGCAGGGTTCTCACTAGTCTATATCCAATAGACTGAATCTCCTGAGAATTCAGTTTATTGATGATTATGTCCCTCCTGTGGGAAAACAGGAAATTTCCTGCACACAATTATCAATTTTAGGAAACTTCACTTCCAAAAAATAAGCATTATAACAATTCAATTAAAGTAGTAAGGTACAATTAAATGTTATAAAAAGTAACACAGCATATTGTCAAATAGAAATAAAGCTAGGGGAAGTAACAAATATGCAAATTAATTTACCCAATCAGGCATTTTGAATGGCACTTCCTATGTAAACAAATAATTTTCAATCCCAAATTTTAACATATGTGGGTTATAGTCTGAATATTTTCATTTCAAATTTCAAAAAATTTCAGACTAGAGGATATAGTCTAGGGTTCTCACTAGGCTTTTAGACTCCAGAGATTCTCCGGCGTCTAATGTCTTTAAACCCTCTTGCTCCATAGTATAATAGCTTTTCCGGAGTTTAAAGGACAACTGAAATAGCTTTACTCAGCTTGCAGCTAGAAAAATGCGGGTTTCTCCATTGTAAGCCCAACGTAGAGTCCTTGCGATAGACATTATAAAATATATGTTAGATAACTGCTAACGGTCATAGATAATGAAATAAAACTAACTGATCAATCAAATTGGCCCCCACGTGATTAGTAACATCATATACAAAAATATAGCTTTGGTTTATTGGTTCCTTAGTAATCACAACGTCACGGCAACCATAGGATTGTTGTGTAAACAAATAACAAAACATTTTGGCATTATGACGTCACGATCTAATGGACCAAAACGGGCCACCTGGGGACCAATGAGAAATCACGTGGGGCCAATGACGTCACAACCAATTCGAATATTGCTTATTAAGCAGCTATAACGATCGTTAGAGTGAAATAATTTTCACACTACTGATGAGAAAACATGTCCAAATACATTTATCAAAAAATTATATTGATTCCTTTAGGTTAAATATACCATTTCATATTTGCTTTAAATGTTTTTCCCTGAGTCTAATTTTACATTTTTTGTCACATTATTTATAATTAAACTCTTGAGAAAATTCATAAAATTGGATACAAATAAGGAATAGGGAGTCAAAAACCTTTTAGAAATGTATATTGTGATTAAAATAGGAAGATAATCTAAAGTAGTATTTTGAAAAATATACTTCTAATAGGATATCTTTGATCTCACATGGGGGAGTAGTAGCGATACCACAAAAAATCTGGGGTCCAAAAATTTCTTGTTGAAAACCCTGACAGGGGTTGCGTTTTTGGGGATTTGCATGACTGAGGGAAGCAAATCACAAAAGAGGGGTACACGGTTCACCCCTGGACATTTTTTTAAAATACATTGTTTATGGTGCATCCTAAGCATTTCAAACTATAGATCTACTGTAATTTGTTAATGTTTTTTTCAAAAAACGTTGACACTTACTTGGACAATTTCTTTAACCTGTCTAATCCAAACTCAACCAGGACAGGTCAAAAGTGTTCTTAAGGGAGAATCAGATCTATAGGAAGTGACAAAATTGCAAGCAACATCTACAAGTAGCAGTATATTCCTTACAATTTCTTAAGTGTAGTATCTCCCAAAAGATCTATGTTGTGTTATAAATTGGTGAAGTCATTTAGAACGTGCAAAATTAGGGGAAAATGTTTTAATTCTCCGAAATAATAAAAATGGTAGTGGTAGGACTCGCCCAAATTTTCAGACTTGATTATTGATTAATCAAATAAATTTGAATATTTTAATAGAAATATAAGCTTCTAAAACCTACATTCAATGTATTATTATGCTCCAAAATGCGAAATTCTACTAAATTTTAAAAATCATACGAAAGTTTATATTGCATTTGACTCGATTATTTGTGAAAGAACTGAGCTTGACTTGAGTCAAAATCGGAGAGGAAAACAAAAATCGGTTTTCAAAATTTTTAGCCAAAACAAATGATTATTCAAGTTAGTTGCCAATTTTTCGTTCCATTACTAAAAAATGGTAACCTTTAAAGATAGAAAAATGAATGCATCATTGTAAAAATCTTTAATTTTACTCAAATAACATATACACTTTAGGGATTTTTTGGAAAATAGACATTGCAAGGAATGATATACAACCAAAAATATTCAATTTTTATGTCAAGTACTAATTAGCCTCTAACTACTCTTATAGAGATTACAAAATTGGGACTGAAAGTGTTCACAAAACAAGAGGTATTCAGGTGAGAGAGGAACTTGGATATACAGGATTTACAGGATATAAGACATCACATTTTTTCAAATTCTTTTTTTTGTTTCAGGCCAGCTATAGTGACTACTAGAGTAACATATGTATAAGAAAGAAAAATAGCTTGATAATGGAGGTGTTTGCTTTTAAAACTCACTTGTGAAAGGTCTACACCAATACAACAAAAACATGAAAACCTGTGCAAGTTCATTCCTAAGTTCATTCCCTCTTGAATGCTTCGATAATGTTTCTTTATCTCATCATCATCTTGATAAAAAAAAGAATTAGAATTATCATTAAAGGGACTAGAAGAGATGAATTGTTAGATTTGAAAAAAAACGTTAAAATTGTACAATATCTTTTGCTTTTGCTTTTATCATTCCATGTCATGCATGGTCGAAAAAGTCTAGCAGTTCTTCCTTTATTTTGGCATAATTCTTTCATCTGAACTTATCCCATCGGATTTCTTCTCTATAATTTCACGAATTTGGACATTTCTGCGTTTTAAATCTTCAACTGCAACAGCTTTTATGTTTGATATTTTACTACTTTTGTCAGAAAATGAAAATAAGATTGTAATGAAAATCTTGGCATAATGATTACTCCAAGGCTCAATAACCATGCCAGGCCTGCTATATTCTCCTCATCAAGTACTCACAATTATACATGTTTCTAAAATAAACAAGAACAGCTTCAAAACAAAGACTGATAAAGCTGTTCAACCTGGTTTAACATATACCCTTGTTTCCAATGTTTTTAAAGGAAAACAAATCACACAAATGACATCTACAAGAAATATATTTTTGAGAACTCATAGTTTTACCTATATCTTATCATTATCTTTATGTCGGATTTGATAGTAAAGATCTCTTTGATACAGTAAATATTTGGAAAGATTTGAAGTAAATCTTGAGGTAATTTTGCAAGGGAACATGTGGTAAGATCTATTTTTTGTTGCAGCCAGTTGATGAAGTGCAGTAAGCAGAGAGAGACTAGTCAGGGAGCAGTAGCCTCATTTGCTTAACACAACAAAATACAGGATAGGATATAAGATAACATACAGAGAACTGCGCTACATATAGCACTACAGTAAGTAGCACAGGGATTTGAACCACCACCCAATTAATTTTTCTGGTCCTTGGGTTGGGTCTGGTCCTTGGCTTGTCTGGTTTTTACTGTAAAAATTAAAGGGAGTTAAAGCTTTCATAGAGTCTGTTAGGAGTTTTTAAGGTATTTTCTTTCTTCTGCTGTCAGATGTGGAAGAAACAAAATGACATGTCTCCTTGATATATGACAAGTTTTATCATTGTATTATGATGTCGCAGTCGCACCTTGGAATTGCAAAGCAGCAAGTTTGATTATATCATGAACCTCAATTCCGAATTCTCTATGTTTCATGTTTCTAATGTTTTCATTTTTTATGTTTCAATTAAAACATATATTTACCATCTTAAGATTGGTATTTACCACTTTAAGAAGAGTTCATTATTGCATATTTGAACATGACTGGATTCACACCTTCTATAAACTGTAAACCAAATCAACATTTCGCCCGGGATATATTCGCGAACATTGCCCCTTGTAATATGTGTAATGTGTGACGTCATAACGGCGGGCTGTAGTAATGGCGGACTTTAATGAATAATTTGAAACATTTTGGTTAGTTTTCATGTTCGAATCATAATATAGACCTCAGAGCAGGTGTAATATTGTCGAATACACCCCCTAGGGCTAGGCACAAAAGCTTTCAAACAGAAAATGTTTGTGCCTAGCCCTGCGGAGTGTATTCAACAATATTATCCCTGCTCTTCAGTCTATATTTCCATATTAAGATGGGCCTTCACTTGTGACAGCTTGTCCCCCATAGGCAGTTTCTAGGAGGAGATATCTGGATAGACAAACAAACCTGTTTGATGGAAGAACTAACTGTCACACTTTATATATAATATAAGCATGCTGACTTTTCAAATATATTTGTCTTATTCCACTTCCAGTTAGATGAACAATTAAGATGTCAGCCACATTGGTGTTAACTGAGTCTAGTATGAGCTCCATATCCCCCCAACAAAGGTGAGAGTAATTATAGATGCCAAAGTCACACTCTGTGTTTTAGAGAATCCCTTTCTGACCAGTACATAGAGATTCATGAAATCTTTCAAATGAAGCAACACCAGTGCTATTCAATCCAGTGTTATCATGATATATATAATGGTATTTTTTAATATGATCACTAGATAATACATTCAATTCGGAGGAGGTCAGTCGAACATGTCTGACCCAGTTTACCAACATATCATGACATAGAATCCTTGTGAATCATAGGTAGAAAATATCTCCTCTAATTGACACTGGAAATTTTATTATTAATGTAAATCTAAATGTAAATCTATGAGCTGTATAGTAAACAGATAGTAAACATATAGTAAACATATACGTATAAGTCAGTAAATGGATATATAGAGGATATCCTATGATTTATGAGTGATATGATTTTTATCCACGAATGGATATGATATCTGCTCGAGGGAGCGTAGCGAGAGAGTGCAGATATCAATAACCATGAGTGGATTAAAATCATATCACAAGTAAATCATAGGATGTTCTTTTTATTCCATAGTTAAAGTCATCATCAGAATCGTCGGAAATTAAGTCATTTAATTCGAATTTTCCAATCGATCCGGCGATATTGACACTTAGCCTCGTTTTGAGTCTGAAGTAGCAAAAATCCATAAACCATCGCATACATAAGGGTTATGTACTGGGAGGTTTTGGATATGGGGTTTATCCAGAGGGAGATGTGCATATCTACCTGAGGGACCGTAGGGACCGAAGGTAGATGTGCATATCTCACGAGGGATGAACTCAATATCCAAACCGACCGTACATAACTGCTTTATCCTATACCAAGTAGAGTTTTCAGGGGCATATGGCCATTTCAACAATACAAGGTGTAAAAATAAACAAATCATTCATATGCAAAGTCATTTTATTACATTTCTACTACTTACCGGAAGCGGGAAGATATGCAATTACCGAAGCGGGAAGATATGCACCGAAGCGGGAGATATGGCGGGAGATATGGAGGTTCTGGATATGCAAACCTCAAAATCAGGATACGGGATATATCTTACCAACTTATCTCCCTAAAACTCTACTTGGCATAGGATAAGATGTCGTATGTCATGGCTAAAAAACCGTATGCTATGGTTAAGTGAAAATTTGTCAAAAATATCATATTTTACCACTGATTACAAAAATACCGTTTTTATTTTCACATGTTATCCTATGAATATCATGCTAACTATGGAATAATGTTTTTTACACTACACTGACCAGAATGAGGGTAAGAAATATTCTAAAATCAATGCATGTTTTTTGCATGAATCTATGAGAATAAATTTTCAAGTGAAATCATTGTTTGTAATAAGAATTCAGTTTCCATGTCATTTAGCAGTCACTTCTGCGTTTTATTTTATTGTCTATATGCAGTATATATAGGAGGTTTGTATGTTCTGATTTCTTTTATCCCACTGAGCAAAGTTTAAGTTGGGATATAGTGGAGCTGCCTGTATGTTGGTCATCCATTTGTCTATCTGTACATCCAGCCAATCTCATTTCTTTTTCCCTTTCCCTGAATTTATTGATATTTTATATGTAAACACATGACACATTTGTAATGAGAAAAAATTCATCATTGCTGTTGCTTGAAGAGAAACTTTTTTGTTGATACATTATATGTAAATACTTGGAACACTGTTAATCTTGTTTGGAGACCTTTTTCAGAAATTATTACTGGTAGCTGTATTTTCACAAAATGTTCAGTGGGATTTGCTACACCTTGATGTTGCTAGTATTATCTATTTTCTAGTTTTCACATTTAGTTCATTTATGATATTATTTTTCACTCAATGTTCAAACTACAAAATTCCAAGAAGTATACTAATGAAAAAATGTGTTATAGTATGTTCCAACCTATTTCATATGAAGACTGTAGAGCACAGCTACCATTATAAAATATTCCACATTTTAAGATATTTCCAAGGTACAGGGTGATTATAAAGTGAGATGAAAGGTGCTCTAACTCTTACTTTTGATCACCCTGTTAGCATATAATGAATTAGGTTTATCAGTTGTGAGACAGAACAAGTATAATGACTCATGAAATTCCCTATTCCTTACATATTTAAAAAAAATAATTATGTATCTTAGAAACATTCCCAGCATTCAAATCCAAGAAACTAGAGCACGATGCCCATGTCAAGCAGCGTGCCTACTAGGCACGCAGTTTGAAACTCTGACAAACTGCGCGCATATTTCAAAATGTGAGATGGGGAGGACACGACTCCCAAAAAGAGCCAAAATACGAAAAATACAAGGTTATTCTCGTTCTAAAGATAGAACCATTCTGTGAAGATGAACTTAATTTACTCATAGTACTCAATGTTTTTCCCGATGTAAACCTAGTTATCTCAATATAAGGGTCTTAAGTAACTTCTGTGTTCAAAATTTACAGTGTAAAGTTATACCTATGTTTTTTTATCGTCATTTGCCGTTTATTCAGCCATTGTGTCTGTGTATGCTAGAATATATAGGATCCCTCCATCTGATTAAATCAGCAAAGTTTGTGTTCAAAACGATAATACGCCATAAACGTGATTTAAACATTTTTCTTGTCAAACTGCGCGCCTATATTCACATGTATTTCCCAAACTGCGTGCCTAATATTTCCAAACTGCTTGCCTATCCAAGCTTGTTTTGTATTATTAGAAAACATAAGCGCCATACAAGGCACATATGTGTCTAATAGTAGAACCCCATAATTGAAACACTATGAGAGTCCATCCACCAAGATGGTGATCTGAAAATAAAAGTTTTTTTCGTTCCCAACTTAATTGTCACTTCTATTATACATTTTGACTTTCAATATGAAAATCTCATAAAATCTGACGATAAAGCAAAATTCCAAAGCTACATGAAAAACACCTACACGTGCCTCTGTAGAAATTCCAATGATAATATGTAGTTTTAATAGTGTATGCGCACAGTTTGTAGTTTCTGGCTAAAATAGGCGCGCAGTTTGTGATTTATTTCTTTTTAATCTCCTGATTATCTGTTTTATCTCGAAATATTTTGAATTATACATGATAAATGTGTAAGGAATTAAATATAAAACGAGTCTAAAGTATTTGTCATTTATGTTTCAAGTGCTAGATCGATTTACGTATATACATTCCCGTTAAATCAGTGACAAAAATGCCATTAATCTGCTTATGTTTTAAAACTTAGATTCATTTGCACATAGTTTTTGCTAGTATTAGCAAGATTCGTATATTCGCCACAGAATGAACGCATTGAACAAGAAAACAATGCAGGATAAATGTCTTTAAATTACGTTTCAAAATACAGACTCCAACTTAAATGATGCAATGTTCTTAGTTCTCAGTGTTTTGATCACAAACTGCACGCCTAAGTAGGTGCGCAGCTTGACATGTGCACCGTGTAGAGGGGATCATGATAAGTCAGTCCAACAGTTCTGACATTTTGCAGGATTCCTTTGATTTCAAGAATGATTTTGGACATTTTTGCATCTTAAATTTTCAGTTAAAATATTTGATCAGATATCTCAAGTTTTGGGAAAATAAATAGGATTATGAGGTTAACTTTGGCATGATTTTTAAAAAAATTCTAATTCCTTTAAACCATTAAAAAGAAATGCAGTGTTTTGCTTTGTTACAGGTTAAAAAGTCCTAGAGTACAGAGTCCCAGACTAGAAAGTCCTCAACTTAGTACATCTTCAAGTCCCAATCACCTGTTTGGCCATTCACTTCAAATAAATCGTGAGTCACCACAAAGTAGGAGTAACTCTCCCCATGATAGCCGGAACTCACCACATCAAAGAATATCCCCTAAGACGTTTGGAAATTCACCACATGGTAGTGAGAATTCCCCACAACTAAGAGGGATTTCCCCACAAGTGACAGAGGACATCCCCCAAGCCAGGGGGAAATCTCCACTTGCACAAGAAAGTTCCTTGCCTGGTCTTGGAAAAACAACTGAAATTATTGTATATGACAAGTGCACAAGTGGACTAGGTAACTATAGTACAACATTGGTCATATTAATTTGTGTAATTGTCAATGTTTTCCCAGGATGTTTTGTCAAGTGGGTGCAAAATTCTCATTTTTTTACTTTTTTGACCAAAGTTGGTTTAACATGCTTATGTTTCACATTTTTGAGTGTATGCTAATCAGTGAGTGCAGGTCTTAAGTAGGTGCAGTGCTGACTTACTTCTAAATATATGGGTTAGAAGTGTGTGTTTAATCATAAGCTTATCTTATTGTTCCAGGTATCAAAATTATAGGGGGTGTTAGCAACTCAGACGATAGAAAAGATTTTGGAATATTCGTAAAAAGAATTTTAATTGGAGGACTTGCTGCTAAAGATAGTAAGTAAAATACTAGACATCTTATGCCTGGGTCACATTTGCTCCGATCCATCGACCGGCGCCTGGCCGATTGAGTGTTTTGTTCAATATTGTATTCAATTTTGAACAAAATACTCGATCGGCCAGGCGCCATAGTGAAAATCGGAGCAAATGTGACCAAGGCATTACAGAGACCCTGAAGGCTTTTAGTTACTTAGTTACTAAGTTATTTAACTTATTTGATACTAAATTACTTAAATACTAAGTTAGTTATTTAATTAATTACTAAGGTAATTATCCCATCGCATGAAGTTTGGAGGGATATAGGGAACACCTCTGTCCATCGTACGTCTGTCCGTCCGTCCGGGCAATAACTGAAATACCATTGGCCTGATTTTGTTCATATTTTGTACACATATACCCTATGGGGGTACAAGTTCTGCTCAAAAGGCGATTTTCAAAATGGCAGCCATTTTAGTGCCAATTTTACAGTAATTTAGGTGCAATATGTAAAACTGTAATAGCAATATGATTTAAATGTAAAAAAAATTATATAGGACATTAATAAAGCCTCAAATGTAGATAATAAAGAAGCACATGGCAGCCATCTTGAAAAATGGCAGCATTTACTCGTTATTTTACGATTTTTGCTGTACCTCGAAAAGTAGTGGAGCGATTTTGTTCATATTTGGTATGTGAATACTACAAGCATGGCACACTGTCTTAGATGACACTTTTGGTAGAAGGTGGCCATTTTATAAAAATGGCCGCCATTTTAACATATTTTACTATAACTCGAAAAGTAGTGGAGCGATTTGGTATGTGAATACTATAAGCATAGCACACTGTTTAATGACACTTTTGATAGAAGGTGGCCATTTTGAAAAATGGCCCCCATTTTAACGTATTTTACTTTAACTCGAAAAGTAGTGGAGCAATTGTTTATATTTGGTATGTGAATACTATAAGCATGGCACACTGTCTAATGACACTTTTGGTAGAAGGTGGCCATTTTGAAAAATGACTGCCATTTTTGCTATATACTTTCTTTGTAAATATGCCAGCCATGGCTGTTTGATGGATTTGCTACGCTTTGGCGTTGCTGTTGTCTAGTAAGTTTATTAGTAATCTACCTAGCAAGTTAGTTGAGCTAGTCATCTGAAACTTCTTGATGAGCTGCTCCATGGAGTATAGCTGTACTGTGCCAAAGAAAAAGTTGGAATTTATTCAGACAAAACAGTTATACAACACTACATCGGCACGTGGCATTTTGTGTGTTCCGCTGATTGTATCTAAGACTAAACATTTGAGATTTGTTAGTCAGAACTTGTAATTTTATTGCATTTGAAATGTTCTTTTGTGCTGATGGGTGTTATAGGCAAGCAAGGAGTGACATGAGAATGCTTGTCAAATCAAAGTAGCAAGAAAATCTGCCATCCATTTAACTTGAAATTTTGCAGATGCAAGAGCAAACTTCTTTCAAGATTAGCTTTTGGGCATTTTGGGTAATTAACAAAGCAGCCATTATGAATTGAAGTGTGATTCTTATCCCAGTGTGTTTTGTTTACTTCCAGGCAGGCTGCAAGAAGGAGATCTTATAGTTGAGGTGAATAAAGAAACATTGATAGATGTCACTAACGAAAGGTATACAATTCTTCACTTCTCATGCAAGGAGGATTAGCAGCTAGAATGCAATATCTTGATATTTTCCAACAATGAATCAGATCTTTCAGGATGTCGTGATTTTCACTTCAAATTTTGAATCATGAGTTTTATAGTCTTATTACTTAAGAGAAAATTCAAAACACAAGATATTAGCTCACATCTTTTGGATTTGGATTGCTGATTATGATTTTATAGCCAGTTTGTCAGACAACAATGACATTCTGACATTTTCATTGTTGGAAAATATTGAGATTGCATTCTGGGAGCCTATCCTCCTTGCTTTTCAAGTGAAATTACATGAGAAATCCATTTATTTTGTTATGTCTGCTGTATATAAGTTTATGAGCCTTTTTGCATATTACTCACATTGGCCAAGTGAAAAATTATATTTTGGTTAATTTTATTTTATTCTAACATTTTGAAAAGGAGAATACAGTATCAGCTCAGACTACATGCACTCTACAAATGTATGGTTTTAGATAAAATTAACATCATTTTGGTACTGATTCTGAACCATTTTGGTACTTATACTACCCTGCACAGAGTCTAGTTTTAAACTACCCTCTGCCTAGTCTATTATTACAGTTAAGCAGCCCGCCCCAAAGAATGCAAAGGGTATACTTGTGCTAGAATTGTGTCCATTTTTACAGAGTGCCACACTGGTGCCAATGTGGATAAATGAATTGTGGTTTATATACTAGAAATAATGAGGTAACTTTGCATTTTAGGGCAGTCTCAATTCTTCGCAATGCTTCTTCCTCTGGTAGGGTTACTATGGTGATAGTGAGAGACCAGGACAGCAGGTACAGTGCAACTTACACTTTGATATATCACCATGGAAACTGCCATGACACTTATTAAATTGATAGTTTGAGACTTGTCTTGGTTAATGGAAATGCTATTAGCTTATTACATAAAGATACTGAGTCCTGAAGTGAAATGTTATACGCATTACTGACTGGATTTTGTTGTGATGTTATAATCTATAATTAAGAATATGTCAATAGTTCACATGTACAATGTCAATGTACAAGGATTTTCATGAGAATTTCCCTCCTTAATTTACCATAGTGACTTACGCATAGTGATTTCAGTTGAATTTGAACATTTGTCATTTGATGTTCATGATTTTAATATTTTACATACTAGTTGATCTTATAATATTGTTAGCCCCTTTGAAAAGATAAGTGTATGTGGGGATAAAACAATAAAATGGCCTAATGTCAAAAATTTACATTGTGAAGAGTTCACCTGAAAGTCAGATGGGTCCCTTAGGCAGCTAGGATGTTTGATTTAAACATGTTGTGGAAATGTGATTCTGTTTTTGTTCATATCAGAATCACGAAAAATTATTTCCCTTTGCGTCATTGGATAACTATATCTCATAGAAGGATGTAATATTATTAGACCTTTGGCAATAGCATCTGGTTTGTTTTTGTCATTTCCTTCTACATCTTTTCATTTTTGTCACATTTCACTCATGTTTGCCAGTTTTTGTCACATTCCAGTACCTACAATGTATGTGTATTGATATGTTGTTGAATGGTTACAGGGAAGAATTCTTAGAGCTGATGGAAATGCAGAATGGTTACAGTTATTCTACAGCCAGTTCTGATTGCCGCAGTGTGACTTCTTGTGCAAGTACGCCATCTATACTCCCTCAAGGTATATTGATGACTCTGACATGAGACTTTTATAATTATTACGGTATATTAATATTGTGTCTTTATTATCCCAAGGAACAAAGTTCGGTAGGGATATAGTGAAGCTCTCCATCTGTCTGTCAGTCAATCAGTTCATCTGTTCATCATCTAGATGATGGATTTTCTTCTTATTTGGTGGAAATATGGATATTGGTGAATTGCTTTACGCAAAAAAATTCCAAGATGGCAGCCACTTGGCAGAAATTTTTAGCAAAAATCTGAATTTTTCATTTTCAACCAAAGTAATAAACATTACTGTTTGCAATTTTGGTAGTATATTCTCAACATATTTATATTTCACATCTATTTCATGTTTTTCAACTTTACCTCCAGGGGCCGTGCATGGGGGTTGGTAAAATAGGTGAAATTATACTCAAATGAAAGGCAATTTAGAGTAGAAAATTGTATCATTTTTCTGATTTAGGCGTTGGAAAATTCAAAATGGCCACCTAATATCTATTTCGCAATAGTTTCTTGATCTCCCTGAAATATATTATACTCAAATTGAAGGAATTTTAAAGTAGATCACAATTATAGTATTGTTTTTCTCATTCGTGCCTCAGAAAATTCAAAATGGCTGTCTAAAGCGGGAATTCACTATAATTAAGAGATCTCTTCAAAGTATGGTTACGTTACACTACATTTAGATCTCAAATATTGATTTGATTTTATGATTTGAGCCTTTGAAACTCCTAAATGGTCACTCAAATGCTTAAATTGGTGGAAATTCTGGTATAGTACATGTATATCTCCAATGTCTGTCTTTATTATCTGCATATCAATGGTAGAGTAGATGGTAAATACTACATATATATTCATGAATAATTTTAGAAACTTCAAAGTTTGAAGGAATGTACTATTTTTATACAGTTTTTTTATTTTACATTAGAAAATGCATTGGCATTGGCAGTGCATTGCATGTTAGTGCTAAATTATTGTTCTCACTACATTTAAAATGTAGTGCACTTGGATAGTGTAGTACACTAAAAATGCGTACAAGTTCAACAATCTCATAAAAATACTTTTTACTCTGTTAATTGTGGGAATGTTTACTCTGACAATGATTATTTGATTCATAGATTGATGTACCAGTTTTTGAATTGAAAATTCTTCATCACATTATTTGCTGTCTAACTTACAATACACAATATACTGACAACAAACAATATTGATTTGTTTGTCTTAACAAAAACATACCTTACTTGGACTTGTTCAAAACTACTAAAACCTATTGAGCCTAATGTATTTACATTGTTTACCATATTAATGGCATATTTCATTTTCACTAAGATTGATTTTATGTATTTTCTGTCAGAGAAGAGGCACTTGAAAAAACAAAGGAGGTTGTTTACCAAGATCCCAATAATTACAATGTGATCAATATTTACAAATAAGAGCATTGAGACCTTTCAGAGAAGTGTTGCATTATGGGGACTACAAGTACTGTACTAATACTGCATTTTATTTCATACTGATTTTACAAGTTCATAGCTAGTAGACTTAGGTGAAAAATATCTACTGCTTTTTGTTATGAATAGTGTAAATTGGAAATATTTGGCATTGGAAATATCTGAGTAAGTTTCAAGTAAATTATATCATTTTTTTATTCTACCAAACTTGATATAAGAGAACTCATGATCCACCTGTTTGTTCATTTTTCTGGGATTTAAGTCAAATTCATTTCTTCTTCAGTTCATATATTTATTGCATTTCTTCCTTATTCCATGTATCAATTTCTCATTCCATGTATCAGTTGTATTTCTTCTTCATTCCATGTATCAGTTGTATTTCTTCCTCATTCCATGTATCAATTGTATTTCTTCTTCATTCCATGTATCAGTTGTATTTCTTCCTCATTCCATGTATCAATTGTATTTCTTCCTCATTCCATGTATCAATTGTATTTCTTCCTCATTCCATGTATCAATTGTATTTCTTCCTCATTCCATGTATCAGTTGTATTTCTTCTTCATTCCATGCATCAGTTGTATTTCTTCTTCATTCCATGTATCAGTTGTATTTCTTCCTCATTCCATGTATCAATTGTATTTCTTCCTCATTCAATGTATCAGTTGTATTTCTTCTTCATTCCATGTATCAATTGTATTTCTTCCTCATTCCATGTATCAATTGTATTTCTTCTTCATTCCATGCATCAGTTGTATTTCTTCTTCATTCCATGCATCAGTTGTATTTCTTCCTCATTCCATGCATCAGTTGTATTTCTTCTTCATTCCATGTATCAGTTGTATTTCTTCTTCATTCCATGTATCAGTTGTATTTCTTCTTCATTCCATGTATCAGTTGTATTTCTTCTTCATTCCATGCATCAGTTGTATTTCTTCCTCATTCCATGCATAAGTTGTATTTCTTCTTCATTCCATGTATCAGTTGTATTTCTTCTTTATTCCACGTATCAGTTGTATTTCTTCTTCATTCCATGCATCAGTTGTATTTCTTCTTCATTCCATGCATCAGTTGTATTTCTTCCTCATTCCATGCATCAGTTGTATTTCTTCTTCATTCCATGCATCAGTTGTATTTCTTCTTCATTCCATGCATCAGTTGTATTTCTTCCTTATTCCATGCATCAGTTGTATTTCTTCTTCATTCCATGCATCAGTTGTATTTCTTCCTCATTCCATGCATCAGTTGTATTCTTCATTCCATGCATCAGTTGTATTTCTTCTTCATTCCATGCATCAGTTGTATTTCTTCTTCATTCCATGCATCAGTTGTATTTCTTCTTCATTCCATGCATCAGTTGTATTTCTTCTTCATTCCATGCATCAGTTGTATTTCTTCCTCATTCCATGCATCAGTTGTATTTCTTATTCATTCCATGCATCAGTTGTATTTCTTCTTCATTCCATGCATCAGTTGTATTTCTTCTTCATTCCATGCATCAGTTGTATTTCTTCCTCATTACATGCATCATTTGTATTTCTTCCTCATTCCATGCATCATTTGTATTTTTTCTTCATTCCATGCATCAGTTGTATTTCTTCTTCATTCCATGTATCAGTTGTATTTCTTCTTCATTCCATGCATCAGTTGTATTTCTTCTTCATTCCATGCATCAGTTGTATTTCTTCTTCATTCCATGCATCAGTTGTATTTCTTCCTCATTCCATGCATCAGTTGTATTTCTTCTTCATTCCATGTATCAATTGTATTTCTTCTTCATTCCATGCATCAGTTGTATTTCTTCTTCATTCCATGCATCAGTTGTATTTCTTCCTCATTCCATGCATCAGTTGTATTTCTTCTTCATTCCATGCATCAGTTGTATTTCTTCCTCATTCCATGCATCAGTTGTATTTCTTCTTCATTCCATGCATCAGTTGTATTTCTTCTTCATTCCATGCATCAGTTGTATTTCTTCTTCATTCCATGCATCAGTTGTATTTCTTCTTCATTCCATGCATCAGTTGTATTTCTTCTTCATTCCATGTATCAGTTGTATTTCTTCCTCATTCCATGTATCAGTTGTATTTCTTCTTCATTCCATGTATCAGTTGTATTTCTTCTTCATTCCATGCATCAGTTGTATTTCTTCTTCATTCCATGCATCAGTTGTATTTCTTCTTCATTCCATGCATCAGTTGTATTTCTTTTTCATTCCATGTATCAATCATATTTCTTCCTCAAACCTGAAAATTAAGATGACTTATATTTAAAGGGGCCATCTGCTACTTCTGTTCAATCTTTCAACAGACATTGGAAGAAGGAATGAATGCATTTTATTATTCACAGATGTCATACCTATATTTATTAAATGGATTATCAGACAATCACAAATATAACATAAACGCATCTGCAAGGGACAACAATTAGCTGCCATGTTTTGCCTTTTATAGTAACACATGTAAGGAATGTGGAATTAGCAAGAAATAAAGAGAACAAACAGCTATAATAATTTCAATTATTTGAAAAGGTGTGTCAGTGCTGAAGCTCAATTAGAATAATTTGGATAGAAACTGCTAAGAATATGTGTTAAAGTGTGAAAATATATGTAATAGCATTTTCATCTGCAGATTTTATTGGGAAACAATAAATTGATTATTAACCTCTGGAAAAAGTTCACCCATGTATCAAGTTGAAATCAATAACTTTTCATAAAGATATAAAACAGTGTGTAGGAAATGTTGCTTATCTTGCATAAAGTAAATTAATGAGAACTCGTATAGTGTTGATTGTTTTGGCTTAACAGTTATATAAGTTTTTTAAAATACATATTTTTATTGAAGGGAGTACTCCATCTGAACATATACAGTTAATTTAACAAACGAGAAATGTTTTATGGATTAAAAGCCTGACTATGCAGTGTTGTATTGAATTGCATAGGCAGGAAACATTGAAATGCTCTAACTAAACAAAAAGTAGAATTATAGGAAGTGGCAATATTATGTACATCAAAACCTTGCCATCTAACCAAAGAGGGTCGAATCACAAAGGAGTTTAACTGGCAATGGTTTTTAACTTAAAGTGATGTAGCTCAGGTGTTCAGATGTTTAAATTACTTATTCACTACAACGTACATACTTTATTGTATGTTTCAGAGATATGTTTCAGATATCTGTTTTGTTATATATATGTTTTAGATTGTATACTGTATGTTTCAGAGAAAAGATCTTGGGGATTGCAAGGAGATCATCTTTCACCAGTGAATGTAGGGTCAAGGTCACTCACTCCATTGTCTAATGGTTACCATGCCAATGTGCCAAGTCATGATCAGGTATGTTTAACTAAAATATTATTAGGGATATGGAAGTGCTAGTTCCAAAATGGAAAACTCCCAACAGTTGAAAAACACAGCAAGAAAATGAAACTACAAACACCACAACCAGTCATACTTAAAAAGAAATATCTCAAAATATGGTCTATTATCCCATTTAATATACAAACAATTATATGGAAACTATGGGAAATAACTATTGTATATCTGATAAATAAATACTGAATAATTCAATTTCATAACAAAGAAGATGAAACTTCCTAATCAAAAACTGTCCAACATGTATCCTAAAAACACTATTTTTCAGGACTCTGATTTGTTAAGTGAGTCTGATCAGGAATCTACAACTCCAACGTCATACTCACCTCCACCTGGTGGAAATTTTAATAACTATAGTCTCCCGACACCAAAAATTGCCAATAATATCGCTATGTTGCACCAACAGCACTTACAAAGCACACAACCTAGAGGGCATCACTATAGTATGACATCACAAGTACTTAATTCATCCACTCCGCAATACAACACAGGTTTGACATTTGCATTATTTCATGTTATTGTAGTTAAGGAAATTTAATGTTAGTTTCTTGGAAGAAGAAATGAACCTGGCTCTTAACTTTTTCTGTTTGGTTCGGCTCCTTCCATAAGTTTGGGAACCAAAATAGCTTGTTTAGGTTTGAATCTTAATCCTCAACAATTGCAAAATGTCAGGTGACATTTGATGAATTTGTTGAAATTTGCAAACAATAAACAAATCTTTACATGTTTAGGAGGTGTGCAATGACACAATGTGAATTGTTAGTACCTCAGTGTAAATACTCGCATCTGATTGGTCAATTAGCGGTCAACATTTTTGCCTGTACCTCACCTGTGCATCATGGGATATCATATTATTGACCGCTTATGTTACTGTACTACACTTGTGAATTATGGGGAATATGACGTCATAATATTTAGTAAATATTATGAAGTCATATTCCCCATAATTCACAAATATTATTTACTGAAAAAACATGGTAGACGGACATTTCGTAATCGTTGATGAAAGTGATATTTTGACTGCTAGACGACAAGTATAGCAAAAATACAAAAAGAAACGAAAAATTAACATTGATTTACTAGTGAGTACGCAGTTATGTGCCAAAAACAGAGAGTTTAACTACCACTGTCTTCAGATTTTCTTAAAAAATTATTGCTGGCGTGGTTCGGAGAAAAGATTGTGAAATGAAGTCATGATTGATGACTGTCGTCTATATGTGTATTATTAGTTTCTTCTGACTAACAAAAATGGACACATATGTTTGTTATATCGATATGACGAAAGCCTTCTGCAGTATAAATCGAGATTGCCTATGGTTCAAACTCAATAGAATAGGAATAAAAGGAAAAATCTTTAAGGCTGTTCAATCCCTGTATCATGATGTAACCTGCTCAGTGAGGATTAATGGCTTGCTGACCCCTAAATTCAAGGTATCTAATGGATGTAAGGAGGGCTGTTTGCTTTCTCCGACCCTGTTCGCCATCTATATAAACGATTTAGCATCTGATGTGAAACAATTGAGGTGTGGAGTCCATGTTGATGACACCAATGTAGGAATATTACTTTATGCAGATGATATCGCATTAATAGCACCAACCCCTCAAGACTTACAACGCATGCTAAATAAGGTGAATGAATGGTGCAGGAAATGGAGACTCTCTATGAACCTGAGCAAAACAAAAATAGTGCATTATAGGCCCCCCTCCCACCCTCAATCAGTCTACATTTTTACATGTGGCCAAGATACCATTGAATATGCTCCAAAATATAAATATCTGGGTTTATTATATCACTATCTAGCTAGCGACAGTATGATTGGTCAAAACCGGGTCACATGTCGTGGGATATCTGGCGATATTCAATGGCAATGCTAATCAGATAAGACAACCGTGAGATATCTAGCGATATCCCACGCTCCCGGGAATTTTCAAAGAAGTTGTTTTCGTTCAGTGTAAATAATTTAGTTCAGTGTAAGTAAAATGGCAGACGAACCGAGTAGATTCAATGTATTTCAATGTTAACCTATGACTTAATAATATTAGGGATGTTTAGCTAGACAGTGATATAATAAAACAAATATTTCACTCTATTTTCGGTGAATACCTGTAGCACTTTCACAAGGTGATATTCCACTTGCCCTTCGGGCTTCGTGGAATATCACTTGTGAAAGATGTACAGGTATTCACCTCAATAGAGTGAAATATTTGTTCAATATGGCTAGAGGAACACTTAGATGCCAAAATCATCGCAAGTGAAATTGCCAAATCAGCTTCAAGAGCCCTGGGAGTAATTACAACTAAAGCAAAAGCTACTGGTGGAATGGACTTCAAAGTGTTTAACAAGCTATATGACTCCCTAGTACAACCAGTGATCAACTACGGCAGTGCTGTTGTTGGCCTTAGGGAGCATAGATGCCTAAATAATATACAAAATCGAGCTGGCAAATCATTCCTCGGTGTAAGTCCAAAAACCAACAATGAAGCAGTTCGCGGTGACCTTGGGTGGAGCCCTCTGGTGGATAAAACAAGATTGGAATGTGCCCGCCAGTACCTGAGATTACACAATATGGACCATAATAGATTGAACTATAAAGTGCATGTTTGGTCATTAAAACAAAAAAGAAGTTGGGACTATCATACTAAAACAATGTTGTCAAACAATGGTATTTCCACTGATAATAATATTTCCTTACATGTAAAAACAACAATAAAACTTTTAAAGAACTGTTTCAATTCGAAAGATCCTTTCTTGAAAAACATCTGGAACGATAAAAATAATGTGCAAAATGGAAATAAGCTTCGAACTTATAGAATGTTCAAATATGGAGTTGTAACTGAATCTTATGTATCTGATTATATTCCAAGACATCATAGAAGTATGCTTGCCAAACTGAGAACAGGTAGTCTCCCACTTAACATTGAGACTGGTAGATGGTCAAACATAGCATTGCAAGATCGAACTTGTAAATTATGTGATAGTAACACTATTGAAGATGAATTGCACTTTGCCATTCAATGTAAACATTACTCCAGCCTCAGATCACACTTTTATGAAACTGTTACAAACATTTTGACGCCACATATAAAAACAAATACTGACAATGATTTACTTCTATTTATTAGTCTCATGCATTCAAAATCAATTCAAAGGCAATGGGCTGCTCTCTTGCATAACATGTTTGTAAAGAGACAATTTGACCTTGAAAGGCTGACTGAAACATAATTATTTGTAATGTCCTAATGTATGTTTCACCATATTCATTCGATTGAGTGCCTCATTACTTTTATACTATAATTTAACTCTAGTCAATTTAAAGAGGCAATATGTTACATGTTAACTCTTTCTATTTATTATGTATAAGAATTTATAATTATCAAACATGTGCAATACTTGGGATAAATTGTTTTATTATACATTACTGATACGCATTGTCTACAGTCTGACAGTATATGCTTAATGTTCTTGCGATAATAATTTGGAAGTTAGTGACCAGTGTCTCATAAGCCGACATCGGCTGGTGGTATTTTAACTATGTTCTTATATATGTATTAATTGTATCATACCAGTGACACTTAAATAAAATATTTTAAACTAAACTAACAAAACAATTGTAGACCTCTCCATTCGGTCAACTGTCAAAATCATATACCTCGACTGTAAACCTTGAAACTACTGTTGACAGAGACCGAGTTTCTCGGTTTACAGTCTCGGTATACAATTTTGCCGGTTGACCTCTGGAGAGGTCAACAATATCCTAGATGCGAGTAGAAATGATCTTGATTTAAGTCATTAAAAATTCAAAATTCAGTCAAACTGATGTCATATTTGAAATTTACATGTAAAATTACATCTAGAAATATGGTTTTGAAAAGAGTTTATCAACTTTGGAAATTTAATTTTCTTTGAAAATGTGACTTCTAGGTCGGGGAGATTCCCCATAGCCCCCATGTTGTAATATCACAAAAATGGAAATATCTTTTCTTGTGTTGGGCAGATAATATTTTCTTTTACTGGACGTATTTTAATTTGTATAACTATCAGATACATAAGGGTAATATGAATAGTGAACCACTAAAACTGATGAATATTCAAGTTTAAGGGAATTTTGTAATACCCTGCCATGTTATTTCCCCCGAGTCAGCCACCTGGTGGCGAAACTGGTAACTACCTACTCGCATCTGAGTAATTGTATATTGTACACAGCAGTGCATTTGCTGCATTATGGGTTTTGCTGGTTGGCTATATAGTGTATATATTGTTTTCTACAAATTACTGTAAACACATGAACATAATATTATGCCCCAGTGCTATTTACTTTTGATTTATGTTGACACTACTCTGAATCACACTCTGTTATTCATTTGTTTAAACATCAGTTTTATTATCACACTCTGTACATTCATGTATACTTAAAGAGACTCTATGCCATAGGATAGCACAATCAAGACCCCTCTGGACTTTTTTGCATATTGAGTTTCACCACATATAACCCTTATCTACTTACCAAAGAAGAAATCCCAAATCCCCCCTCTTTCAGTGTAAATTTTGCGATTGTGCTGGCCGATCTAATTATTTTCGAAGAAATTAATTCAATCTGAAGTTTGAATATACCGGGAAAGTCCTCCTGTTATCTGATGGGTCGTTGAATTTGTTTATCATGAACCTGATTGGCTGCCTGGTTCAAGGCACTTGTGTGACTCAATGGGGATTTCCCTCGGTAGCTGAGGAATCAATAGTGTTTAATTCTGGAGGTTGGTTGTTCTGTTGATTATTTCAATATTTCGGCAATTATATACCCTAAAGTTATTCTCAAGATATATCCATGGTATGTGAGATATTATATGAGCAATAATAGGACATCATTGATTGTCTGGGGGAGAAACCTATTATGGTATAATGCATCTTTAATCTTTTTAACTTAACATCTGAATCTATGTAACAATATTGGACAGATTGCAAGTGTCTTTTTTACATTACATGTATACATAAAGATAAAGAAACATAAAGAAAGTTGACAGATAATGCTTTTTTGTAATCTAAATTGCAGCATTCATTCCCACCATGAGATCCATGATGCCCCCTGGTGCCTCTAATCCTAAAGTGATGTCTAACTCACGCTCAAATCAACAAGATATCTCACCAATAGAGGCCCCTACTGGTGGTGAGATGAGAGGGTCACCCCTGGGTTGCAACATGGTGTCCCCGCAACTCCCCTACAGCTACAATACACCCTCTCCACAGATGAATAACTCTAGAAAACTCTCTCTTGATCCACATGTTAGATTGAAGATTGAAAAGCTTGAAGAGGTACGTCAGTATATTCTATTTTCTAAAACTAGTGAAAAGTGCATGTTTGGTGTATTTTTGTATAATTGTTGTACAAAATACTTATTGTTTTTTGTATAATTGTTATACAAAGTGTACTATTGTTTCAGGCACTCAAATATCTTGGTTTAGAGCCTACAGTTGATCAACAACTTCAGTTACGCCAAAGTTTAATGGCTGATGCTGCAGGGACGGTCAGTTATGGACGTAAGTTACTGCATGGGAGTTAAACTGTGGAACTCTTGATGGCTAGAAGCAATGTAAAACAATTAGGAGCAATGAGAAACTTCAAGGAATGAAACAGTTATTTCCATAGCAATCTTTATGTTGATTAGCTAGAAAATGTTCAACTCTCTTATTGCTATATTTTTAGACATTTTCAGCCTCATATTCAATTTTGTTTTACATTGCTGATTGAGAAGAAATTGCCAACTTTATGAATTATTATGTACATACCTCTAAGTTTGTAAATGTTTTTCAAAGATGTGGATATTATGGTTATTTTCATTATGAACAAACCCCTCTTATAATGCATAGCAGATAGTAACATATGAATGCAATACAAAATATGAGTTGTTGGTTTTAGGGTTGTTTTATTGTATTTATCTTATTATATTTTAGAGTTTGTTCAAGCTGCTAGAGAAATATTCAAAGTTGAGTTAGAACAGAGAAGTATTGGCTCAAGTGCCTTGTATTTCTCAGCCAATGATATAACATCATTCACAGAGCCTCCAGCTTTCAAACCACAGGTGAGTTCTACCTGCTAACAGGAAACAAATGTCACCATAAACTCAATTTAAAGTCATGACAATGTTTTGAAGTGCAAAATAAGAAATGGAAAAATGTGTGTTTATTCAAAGGCCTCTTATTATTGCAAAAGTACTATATATACTGTTGTTGTTATCTTGTGCTGCTGTCATCAAAACTTCAGGAAAACCACTCCCCTTCTCAACTTGATTTTGACTAAATGGGAAGATCTGATTAGGTTAAGCGCATACTGTGTAAATTACTCAGTGGCCATTTTGATTTTTTCTCTGTGTTTCTAGTTTTTAATAATGTGATAACTGTAGGTATGTAGTTCATATTCTAAAGCCCATTTCTTGAAAATTGGTATCATTGAGTAACTTCCAATATCAGAAATAAAAATTTATGAAATGATTTAAATACATGTATACTTGATATGAAGAAGCAAGATCATCAATTCATAACTTATAACTAGGTATTTTTCAGACTTATAAGAGCAACTATGACATTCTGTGCCGGTGTCAGGCTATAATATTGCTTTTGTTTGAAGCAACTTATGTTACCCAACATGCAATAAAGTGTTAGTTTTCAAGGAAACCAAATTATTAAATCCTGTTTTAATAACACTGGAGGCAAATTTCATTACCTGTGTGAAATATGATCAAACTAGTATATATATACAGAACTTATTAAAATTGAACTTAATTTCACCCTCATTGCATTTTAAAATTGAAAATGAGTTATTTCTGCAGTTGATTTCCTTGTAGAAATCACTCACAAATACCAAAATATGCAAAATTTTGTGGTGTTGTTATTTTGTTTTTCCTCTTGCTAGATGGCAGCATATGCGATTGTCTGTATGTACCTATCACAATATTTTACTCTAGATTCTGTCTTAATTTTCATTAAAACGCCTGAAAAGCCTGTGGAATTCCCATAGAGTTGGCCTTTTCACTTGCAGAATTTCCTAATTTCACTTACAGAATTTAGTATTTCATCTTGCAGAGAACTAGGGAGAATGATCATAATTATAAATAGGTCAAGTTTCCTGTTATATTGGTTAAAAATATAAATTTAACAAGCATGTTCCTGTAACTTTTTTATCACTCAGGATTTGGTGAATTGAGTGAGAGATCTTAACATGCATATTAATATATGGAATATCAAACTTGATTTTGATCTACATGCTCTTCAGTTATAAACCCAAACGAAACATGAGTGTTTTTATTATCCCACCGAATGGAGTGTAAGTAAGGATATAGAGAAGTTGTCTGTCCATTCATCCATCCATTTATTGTCAGTTAATATGTCTGCCAGTGCCAGATGATATCTCAAATACTGGTTATAATTGGGCACTTTTTGGCAGATGATAATAAATGTACATGAAGGGACACCTGCAGTACAACTGGAGACTGGATCCCTCTTGCTTGATTTATACTGTTATAATAAATGCACATGAAGGGACACTTGCAGTGCAACTGGAGACTGGATCCCTCTTGCTTGATTTATACTGTTATAATAAATGCACATGAAGGGACACCTGCAGTACAACTGGAGACTGGATCCCTCTTGCTTGATTTATACTGTTAAAATAAATGTACATGAAGGGACACTTGCAGTGCAACTGGAGACTGGATCTCTCTTGCTTTATTTATACTGTTATAATAAATGTGCATGAAGGGACACTTGCAGTGCAACTGGAGACTGGATCTCTCTTGCTTGATTTATACTGTTATAATAAATGTACATGAAGGGACACTTGCAGTACAACTGGAGACTGGATCCCTCTTGCTTGGTTTATACTGTTAAAATAAATGTACATGAAGGGACACTTGCAGTGCAACTGGAGACTGGATCTCTCTTGCTTGATTTATACTGTTAAAATAAATGTACATGAAGGGACACTTGCAGTACAACTGGAGACTGGATCCCTCTTGCTTGGTTTATACTGTTAAAATAAATGTACATGAAGGGACACTTGCAGTGCAACTGGAGACTGGATCCCTCTTGCTTGATTTATATTGTTAAAATAAATGTACATGAAGGGACACTTGCAGTACAACTGGAGACTGGATCCCTCTTGCTTGGTTTATACTGTTAAAATAAATGTACATGAAGGGACACTTGCAGTACAACTGGAGACTGGATCCCTCTTGCTTGGTTTATACTGTTAAAATAAATGTACATGAAGGGACACTTGCAGTACAACTGGAGACTGGATCCCTCTTGCTTGGTTTATACTGTTAAAATAAATGTACATGAAGGGACACTTGCAGTACAACTGGAGACTGGATCCCTCTTGCTTGGTTTATACTGTTAAAATAAATGTACATGAAGGGACACTTGCAGTGCAACTGGAGACTGGATCCCTCTTGCTTGATTTATATTGTTATAATAAATGTACATAAAGGGACACCTGCAGTACAACTGGAGACTGGATCTCTCTTGCTTGATTTATACTGTTAAAATAAATGTACATGAAGGGACACTTGCAGTGCAACTGGAGACTGGATCTCTCTTGCTTTATTTATACTGTTATAATAAATGTGCATGAAGGGACACTTGCAGTGCAACTGGAGACTGGATCTCTCTTGCTTGATTTATACTGTTATAATAAATGTACATGAAGGGACACTTGCAGTACAACTGGAGACTGGATCCCTCTTGCTTGGTTTATACTGTTAAAATAAATGTACATGAAGGGACACTTGCAGTGCAACTGGAGACTGGATCTCTCTTGCTTGATTTATACTGTTATAATAAATGTGCATGAAGGGACACTTGCAGTGCAACTGGAGACTGGATCTCTCTTGCTTGATTTATACTGTTATAATAAATGTGCATGAAGGGACACTTGCAGTGCAACTGGAGACTGGATCTCTCTTGCTTGATTTATACTGTTATAATAAATGCACATGAAGGGACACTTGCAGTACAACTGTAGACTGGATCTCTCTTGCTTGATTTATACTGTTATAATATTTTGGTGAAAATCAACTAATTCTACTATAACAATGGATTGAATTAATGATTTCAGCAGTCTACCTTGCATGAGCACAGTCCACCAAGTCCAGTGGAATACAGTCCTGTTTCCAATGCAAATGAGGATCTAGAAACAGTTGTAAGAGAGAGGGACAGTTTGAGAAGAGAGGTGGACAGACTAAAGGTCAGTACTGATGGGGATCTAGAAACAATTCCCTAATGGGAATCTTTGTCACTCATTTCTACTAACATAAATTAAGACTCATCGATAGAAATGATGATATCACGTACTGTCTTACATATACTTAACCTATTGGATGAATTGTTAATTGAATGATACATCCTTTCAAAATGAGCTTGTATGTCTGCCCTATCTATGAGTCGAATTACATGGTTTCAAAATTGCAGTTTCTCTAGTTTCTTGGATGAATCAGAAAGACCTTGACAAACTGAATTTTTCATCTATTTCTAATTATCAGGCAAAGTACAATCCATATTGTCTTATTGATAAAATCGCCAATTAAATCTCCAATAGACACATTTTGCCTGCCTTACCCTTTAAAGGTTTCAAAGCAGTGTTTGGATGCAATCATCAGGGAATCATTGCTTTCATTTAGAGATCCTTTAATAACTAAGGGAATGAGTCATGTTTATTGCTGATGTGGTCTGAAAGTAATGAGTTTTCATAATAGATTGTTACTGAGGAAATTGTGTAATTTGAGAGCACAGAGCTGTTATACACACAGACAGGCACAAGGTTTTATGTAACATTTAACATGCTCTCTTATGCAATGCAACACATTTATTTAAGCTGGTGTCACACACACACAGTTTTTTAGGTTGTCCAGAATATAATTGAAATTCTAGAAGACAGATTTTCTTCATATCTATTGGTAAGATGTATATTAGTAAATGGTTTTTGGCTTACATATTCTTTCAAGATGACCAACATTTAAAAATATGATTTTCTTTGCATTTCCAATCAAAGTAATGAATATTTCTGTTTGAAATTTTGGTAATGCCTTAATGGTATTTCTGTTTGTAATTTTGGTAATGCCTCCATTAAATATTCAATTTTCCATCTTCTCTTATTTAAACCCTTGAAAGTTCAAAATAGCCACCCAAACATAGTATAAAACCTACGTGTATTGAACATTTTTTGCCAAGTGTTGGTAGGTTTCACTATTGAGAGGGTCTATACAGAAATCAATAGAGTATGTGCTAAGGAATGTAATGTCCATTAAAGAGATGTGTTCACTAAGACAGGTTTTACTGTATGTGCCTTTTTATGTGCAAATTAAAGGTTTTTAACAAAATATTGCAAATATTATATTATGAAATGTTTCAGATTCATGAACGATCTCTTGTAATCTTATTGAGAATCTGTTAGAGAAAGCATCGACTACAAAACATTTTAAGCTACATTTTGATAAACAAACCAATATATTCACTATAATTTCAAATGTAACATTTTAAAAAATTAACTCATGAACTAAACATTAAATGCAAGATATAATAAACTTAAGTAAATTTTTTAAATCAAATGATTTTTATGAAAATGGTGATTTTTATGTCACCATCAGAAGTATTGTTATAGTCTCCAACTTTTTGGTGGATGGTGCTCAGTGGTAGGTTTTCAGAGTTCAGCATCTGTAACAATTGGCAGGTGGTGACATTTTGCATGATCATGCCTTAGTCTACCTTGTTGGAAAGTTACCCTCTTCATTTTCCATAATAAGTGTAAATGGCTTTGCTACTTCAAAATGTAGCACAATAATTTATTTGACTTTGTATGTTTCTAAAGGAGTAGCATAAAACTCCTTGTGTACATGTAATTCTAAATGTTTCAGATTTTGTTGAAGGACAAAGACAGAGCTTGCAATACTGCAGAGGAAGAGTTACTTAGGATCAGAAAGGTAAGAAATTGTTATCTGTTTTTAGCCACCACTTTTTCTGTAGCAGTTGTTACAATTCTAGTAATTTGCAATAATTAACTTGAAACTTTTAGTGAACACAGATTGCAAACATATGACCAACTATTCTATTCTCTATTTCCAAGAAACTGAATCGTTTAACGGAGAAAAAGCACTTTCCAAGTCTTGCTTCATAAATCATAGATTCTCAATCTTTAACAGTTTTGATATGTTACTGTGCAGGATGCGCAGGGTGCAATACATGAGAGCAGGGCGCTTAGAAGCAAGGTGCACCTGGCAGACCAGGCGCAGAGAGCAGCCAGGAACATGGAACAGGACTATGAAGAAGTTGTCAAACTGCTGGAGAATGAAATAGCAGAGCTGAAGGCACAAATGGGCAAAGAAATGGTGAGATTACTGAAATAAAACATTCATAACTTTTAAGGACCATGATATGTTGAAAATCTTTGTTAAGAATAATATATTGTTTGGCTTAATGGTTATCACAGCAACATTTCAGCTTCCAGCTATTAAAAACATAACTAATCGCCAACATTATCAATTTAGGTGATACTTCCAAGTTTCTTTGATTAAACAAAATTTGGAAGGGTTAATTGGAACTATTACCTATTTCTCTCTTATATATTTGATTGTGTATTTATAAAACATGATATCAAAAACCTCAATCTCATTTACCTATGACTTTCGCATCTAGGCTAACCACAAAACAATTATCAGCATTATCCCATCTCAGGGGTCATGTCAAATTTGCAACAGTTGTAAATAAACAATATTTTTTTAAATGGGGAGGGGGTAAATGAAAATTTCTAGTTACTAACTTTGATTTCCCAGTGAATAACAAATAAGCATGGAGAGGTGGAGTTAAAACAGCAAAATAAATATTATTTTTCCACAACTGCATTTTCACACCATCCTAAAAGTGTACAAATAAACATCCTATTTATAGATAATTTATTTATTACTGTTAACAGACAAGTATGATTATATTACATTGTCATACAACATTTTTATGTTATACATTTTAAATCAATTTTGTATTGTAAGTATTCAATGATCTTCTTTTTATCAATATGTCCTTCTCTCATTTTCATCTCTGTGTCTATATATTTGTTATTTATATTATTTTATCTTATTCAATTAGAGATTGTTTTTTGCACTTCTTATATGACTTACATTTGTATTCCAAGATCTTCTTAGAAATTGAACAACAGTTTTGAATGTAAATATTTGGATCTACTTCCAAAGAAAGACATTTGTTGTCTCTTCTGGAACAAAAGAGCTGACGCTGAATATCATATTTGCCGAATCCATCCCATACAGCATCTGCCAATGCTTCTTTAACACAAGTTTTTCTTTCATCAATGTTAAATAGCTTATATGCGTGTTTACAATTTGAAAAGCAATTTATGGAATGAATATATGCTAGCATTGCACGATTTTGCTGATCATTTTCTTGTAGTGAATAGGTAATAATACAGCATCTATTTTTGAGATCAAAGCCACGCTTTTTTTTCTTATTTAAACGTAATGGAATAATGCAGTCTGAACATGCGATAGTATGTAGGCCCAGATGTGCTGCATCAGTCAAACCATGCAGGTGTGGCAAGACTGCCATGGGAGGTATTTCAGGTGTTGTTGTTGGGTCTGCTGTAGATTGATGTCCAATCAGCACAAGTGCAGGCAACATCATTACAATCATTTGGTTTAAACTGAAATATAGAAGAAACACAGTTCAATGGACTGCAGGCAAAATCATAACAATCATTTGATTTAAACTGAAATATAGAAGAAATGCTGTTCAAGGAACTGCAGGCAACATTATTACAATCATTTGGTTTAAACTGAAATATAAAAGAAACACAGTTCAAGGAACTGCAGGCAACATCATTGCAATCATTTGGTTTAAACTGAAATATAGAAGAAACACAGTTCAAGGAATTGCAGGCAACATCATTACAATCATTTGATTTAAACTGAAATATAGAAGAAGCACAGTTCAAGGAACTGCAGGCAACATTATTACAATCATTTGGTTTAAACTGAAATATAGAAGAAACACAGTTCAAGGAACTACAGGCAACATCATTACAATCATTTGGTTTAAACTGAAATATAAAAGAAACACAGTTCAATGGACTGCAGGCAAAATCATAACAATCATTTGATTTAAACTGAAATATAGAAGAGATGCTGTTCAAGGAATTGCAGGCAACATTATTACAATCATTTGGTTTAGACTGAAATATAGAAGAAACACAGTTCAAGGAACTGCAGGCAACATCATTACAATCATTTGGTTTAAAATGAAATATAGATGAAACACAGTTCAAGGAATTGCAGGTAACATCATTACAATCATTTGATTTAAACTGAAATATAGAAGAAACACAGTTCAAGGAACTGCAGGCAACATTATTACAATCATTTGGTTTAAACTGAAATATAGAAGAAACACAGTTCAAGGAACTGAAGGCGACATCATTACAATCATTTGGTTTAAACTGAAATATAGAAGAAACACAGTTCAAGGAATTGCAGGCAACATCATTACAATCATTTGATTTAAACTGAAATATAGAAGAAGCACAGTTCAAGGAACTGCAGGCAACATTATTACAATCATTTGGTTTAAACTGAAATATAGAAGAAACACAGTTCAAGGAACTACAGGCAACATCATTACAATCATTTGGTTTAAACTGAAATATAGAAGAAACACAGTTCAAGGAACTGCAGGCAGCATCATAACAATCATTTGGTTTAAACTGAAATATAGAAGAAACACAGTTCAGGGAACTGCAGGCAACATCATTACAATCATTTGATTTAAACTGAAATATAGAAAAACACAGTTCAAGGGACTGCAGGCAACATCAAAACAATCATTTGGTTTAATCTGAAATATAGAAGAAACACAGTTCAAGGAACTGCAGGCAACATCTTTACAATCATTTGGTTTAAACTGAAATATAGAAGAAACACAGTTCAAGGAACTGCAGGCAACATTATTACAATCATTTGGTTTAAACTGAAATATAGAAGAAACACAGTTCAGGGAACTGCAGGCAACATCATTACAATCATTTGGTTTAAACTGAAATATAAAAGAAACACAGTTCAAGGAACTGCAGGCAACATCATTACAATCATTTGGTTTGAACTGAAATATAGAAGAAACACAGTTCAGGGAACTGCAGGCAACATCATTACAATCATTTGGTTTAAACTGAAATATAAAAGAAACACAGTTCAAGGAACTGCAGGCAACATCATTACAATCATTTGGTTTAAGCTGAAATATAAAAGAAACACAGTTCAAGGAACTGCAGGCAACATCATTACAATCATTTGGTTTAAACTGAAATATAAAAGAAACACAGTTCAAGGAACTGCAGGCAACATCATTACAATCATTTGGTTTAAACTGAAATATAGAAGAAACACAGTTCAAGGGATTGCAGGCAACATCATTAATAATTATGTATCTTAGAAACATTCCCAGCATTCAAATCCAAGGAACGAGAGGGGATCATGATAAGTCAGTCCAACAGTTTTGACTTTTGTCACGTCAATAAACAATAATTTTTTAAATGAAAACTTCTAGTTACAAACTTTGATTTCCAAGTGAATGACAAATAAGCATGGAGAGGTGGAGTTAAAACAGCAAAATAAATATTATTTTTCCACAACTGCATTTTCACACCGTCCCTTAAGGTGTACAAATAAATATCATATTTATATGTTATTTATTTATTTCTGTTTAACAGCAAATATAGTTGACTTTTAACTAGAAATGAACATCATTTTGATTTGAATATAAGCTATTTTTAATGATTGTTAAAGGTGAAATCTGGAATATACACATACTGTTGTTACAATTATGAGACACAGTATTTCTCAATTTAAATTTACCAGTTTTCTTCAAAGAAATAATGAGCACTAAGATTATTGCAATAGAAGAAAACTATATAGACAAGTATGATTATAATACATTGTCATACAACATTTTTATGTTTTACATTTTTAAATCAGTTATGTATATACATTGTAAGTATTCAATGATCTTCATTTTTTGGCTCACACAGTGAGCCTATGGGATCGACCAGGCGTCCGTCCATCCGTTGGTCCGTCCGTTGGTCCGTCCGTCCGTCTGTTGGTCCGTCCGTCCGTCAACATTGGCCACACAAATTAAAACTGCTATTCGGATTGAGTCATATCCACATTCATTTTATGCATATCCATAATGCCTATTTGACCTATCATCGCCATTTCTCAAGTTCGCTGGGTTTCCGAGAAATTGCTGATTTTGACGTCAAAAAGTCAAATTTTCTGTAAATACTAGACACTTTGTTGAAGTAGAACTTTCAAATAACTTGTAGTAGTTGCTGTATATGTAACTTATGTCCTCTGAAGATTTCAAAGCTCTTGGAATTACGGTTTTTGGTGTTTACTCTATAGAATTTGACAAAAGTAGGACTTCGTCATTTTCAGGAAACTCTCTCATGTATAAAGTCAATGGCAGGTTTTGTGATTAACAAGTTTCTCAAAGTTTGCCTTATACTTGATCATTTCTTGCAATGAATTACATCATAACTAGATTTAAAGGAACATTCCTGGCCAAATCTTTTCTATCCTGATGTGATAGCTATAATCATGTATATACTTTCCATATTTAGCAAAACACAAGGAAACATTTTAATATGGCATTATTTAGAACAATACCACAAGTTTTTAAATGGACTATATAGGGGTCATACCTTTTGGCGGATGGATATGGATTATGGAACCTCATACCTTATTAATTGATATGATATTTACTCAATATTTCCAATGATTTTGAGGACATAATATGTTTTGTGATGTATTTTGATTGCAATGTATAATGAATCTTTTCATGTGGCATTTGAGTTATCAGACAATGACATGAATAAATAATTTTCTTTATGAGTATTTATTATTTAATATCTCTATATATATTTGTCTATTTCACTATGTAGAGGGAAATACAGGGTGTTAAAAAAAAACGCAACCCAAAGAAATCGCTATATCTTGAAAAATACTGGTTCAATTATGTTCATATTTTCAGGAAATAAAGAAGAGACTGTGTATGTATAGCTCCTGTAAATGGTTAGTTGTATAACATGATGCCTTGGACACCTGCTCAAAAGACAGTCGTACTAGGAAAATACGAAAAACGCAGTCAGGGGTGACTGTAACTGCAAAAAGATTAAATAACTTCCTAACCATAGTGTTTTGGCTCTTCAAATTTGGCACAAATCATCTTCATTCACTGTATGGTAAATCTGTAGAGTGAAATCAAAATCACTTCAGGGACTTTACAGTCATGGTTGAAATGCTTTCAAATAGCAGTCAAACGCCCTGGTTCAGGGAGACTTAAGAAGACATTTTGACCATGACTGTAAAGTCCCTGGAGTGATTTTGATGAAACTCCACAAATCCACCACACATTAAATGAGGATAATTTGTGCCAAATCTGAAGTGCCAAAACATCATGGTTAGAAAGTTATTTGGTTTATTGCTGTTGCAGTCACCTCTGACTGCGTTTTCATATTTTCCTAGTACAACTGTCATTTGAGCAGGTGTCCAAGGCGTTATGTTTTTCAACTTACTGACAACAGGAGCTATACATACACAGTCTCTTCTTTCTTTTGGTGAAAAAATGAACATAATTGAATTAGTATTTTCCAAGATATAGTGATTTTCCATTCAAATTTTTCGTATTTTGCTAACAACTGTCTTTTGAGCAAGTGTCCAAGATGTCACGTTTTCCAACTAACTAACAACAGGGGCTATACATATACAGTCTCTTCTTTCTTTCCAGAAAATATGAACATAATTGGATTAGTATTTTCCAAGATATATTGATTTCTTTGGGTTGCGTTTTTTTTTGAACACCCAGTATTATCAGATTTTGATTTTTAACACATTTAATAAGTAAATCTTACTTTTATTCATGAAATATCTTAAACATACTTACCGTAACATCATTCCTGTTTCAAGATGAAATTCTTCAGCACATGTAGTGTAGCTCATCCGACGTTCTAATGTTGTTGTTTAGGTCTGTACACCTGTAAATTGGGATTGCAATTGTGTACTAAAGTTCTCCTGTGTATGTTTGTTTTATAACATATATATGTTGCCATAACATTGTTGGTTCAGCAGTTTGATCAATATTTTTTATATATATATGATTTGTTTCATAGTAAAATATAATTATTACTTAGCAGTAATGTCCCTATCATTGAATATATGCCTGAGGTCTGTTATCAATATATTAATCGTATCGTAATCGTAATCGTATATTACGACAGACCGAAGGCATATATTCAATGATACGGACATAATTGTTGTATTACATACCTTTATTTCCATGGCTACGTTATATCAATGACGTCACACGTCCGTTTGCGAGTGAAATTTGGACGAAGTGAAACATGACGTCATTAGATTGTCATGGTAAAAAAGTTTGGCGGCTATACAGGAATATATAGCCGACCTTCAGCTCCATTGCCTTCCATACAAATGCTTCGCTAGGTATGTAATACATACACATATTGCGGCTTTGCAATGGTGCATTATAAGCCACAATTGAGTAATAACAAGATTTAAAAAAGAAAGTATGACAATGAATTTGCAATAAGCAAAACAATTATTGTGTACAAAATTATACAGTTGGTGGTGGAAGAAATACTTACACGCTTGCACACCTTTGAATAAAAGCTGAAGTGAGCCTTAAAATTTCAATATTAACTTCTTTTGGCAGACTTCTGTCTCCAAACAAAAACAATGATAATTTGTCTTGCTGGTTTTTAAATGCTGGGTAATTAAAATTTAGAAGAGAAAGTGCATCTTCTAAATCTTTAAGATATTGTGATCTAAGGTTACAAGAGAACATGGCATGAATGGATGTTTCAGTGCTACAATGCTACACCCACATTTGCATGTAGGGGATGGTACATTAGTAAAATTGGGAGCGTAAAAATGGGACTGGAAGATCAGATCACAGTGCACCTTGTTTAGAGAAATTTCTTGGCTTCTTGTCGAGGAGATCTCAGAGAAATTAATGATATAAGTAGTCATTAATTTTTTCTTTACATTGGATTAAAACATATTTAGGTTTGGTGATTCTTTAATTTCGGGTGAGAGAGACTCCCAGTCAATGATGGAATTAATTACGCATGATCTATTTGAAAATGTTGAGGTTTTGATTGGAATTTGGTAGTCACAACTTCTTCGTGTTATTGATGGAAGATTTCTACGGTATTGATTAAAAATGTTCAAAACGTAGGATGGAAGTTTATTGTTGTGAGCTCAGTACATAAGGAAAAGTCTCTGCATTTGTCTTCTATCAGATAGCTTTGGCCAATTTAAGCAGTTAGAGACTTTTGTTGAAGATGTTCCATGTAGTACACCTGAGCAAATGCAGGCTGCTTTGTAGTATAATTGATCAATGGATTTTAGTATTTTATATTTGCACAACCATACAGAATATCACAATAGTCGAAAATTGGAAGTATGAAAGATTTGAAGATTAATTCCAGGTGTTTTCCATTTAATTTGTTGCTTAGAGATTTAAGTGGGTTTAAGAGTTTATCAATCCTCTTGGTGAGCTCTGTGATGTGTTGGTCAAAAGGTGTTTGTCTAGTATGAGGCCTAAATGTTTATATGATCAACTCGAGGTAGAACATCATTTCCAATTTTGAGGTCAGGAACGTTATATTCACATTTTCTTGGGTTTGAGAAGGTTATTTCTTTACTTTTAGAGGCCTTGAAGTTCATTTTCCATGTCTGGGACCATTGGAAAATTGAGTTAAAATCAGATTGTAAAATTGTGTTGCTTTCAATGAGGTTTGATTTTGAATATGGTAAGCATAGAGATGTGTCATCTGCATGAATATAGCATTTGCTTGATAACGTTTCAGGGAGATCATTTATGTATATCAGGAAGAGTAGTGGTCCAAGAATAGAGCCTTGTGGAACGCCAGCATTTATATAATCCTCATCACTTAAAACAGACTCTTGACCATCAAGGATAACTTTTGTTTATCTTTTAAAGAGATATGATGCTAAAAGTGATAGATTTTTGGCCAATTCCATAAGATTTAAGTTTTCGTAGTAGCAAAGAATGAGGTAAGGTGTCAAACGCAGCTGAAATATCTAAATTAACCCCCCTTACATTTCCCCCAGATTCTATTTCATTTGTTGTAAAATCAATTATGCGTAATGATTGAGCCTGAGTGCTGTGCCCTGGCAGAAACCTACTTTGAAGATTGTAAAATAGGTGATAGTAGATGGTCAAATGGTAGATGATAGTAAAGGACAAGGTGCAATTATTGGCAAATATCCCTATGGTCAAAATGAATCATTCTTAGGTGTAACATGAAGAATAGAATGCCATATAACTCTTTGGAAAATATTAAAGTGCTCGGGCACACATAAGCTGAGATAGGGATCATTTCGTTCAGTAAGGTTGTATTGACTTACATGGTGCTGTGCACCATTGACTTAACATGAGGATATCAGCAGATCCCAATAGAGGCCATTGATTTCCATTGATTATCACAGAAATACCAAAAATACACTATGACCTGAATCCACAGGGGCTTGTCTCGAGGCGTCGGGCAAGCCCTCCGATGAGTCTACTGCTTATTAATAGTATTAAGGGTGGTCGGTTTTGATGCTACCTGAAATTTGTAGAAAATGATTGTTAGATATATCAAGTAAAAATATATGGAATCCTTTCAATAATCGACATGCTGATTCAAACAACACTACAGAGTAAACTTACCTAAAATGGTAGCAATCCATCCACTAGTTGCTGAGATGTGTGAAGAACATGTAAGGAAGTGATTAAATTTAATTGAAAATGCAAAACACGACAATTTTCACCCTCAAATTGTTAGCTCAAGAGTCGATTTCTTCCCAAAGACACATCCAATGTTAAAAAATGGTAGTTCCTAGAGTTCTTTGTTTCCTTAGGTTCATTCCCGTATATTATTTTAAACGAAGGACAGCCTATAACGACTGCTATACGCAAAATAGATGCATGAAATTATGTTTCGAAACTGAAAATGTGTTCCATGCGCAGTTGCATTCAATCCAGCAATTTGATTAGTTCATATTATATGAACGCATGCGCAATGACCACATATTTTTCTAGATAGATGTCACTTGCGTTCATTATTTCACACCAGTCCATTCCCATGATGCACCTAATATTGCGGGAATATTTTCCTTTAGTAGACAGGTTCCAATTCAAATAATTCAAGTTTTTGAGGCATTTTTTAGAAAAAGCAACAGACCTATTTTTACTAGATCAGTTTTTCATGCTGATAAAGATATTAAAAGATGACAGCTCAACGGGGTGGTCACGACACTAAATTTTGGCATTTTTACCCCCCTAGGAAAATATTCTAGGGGGTACTATGAAACTAGTTCATAACTCAAAGGATATATGAGCTATTGTTCTGAGTTGTACACCATACATTGCTAGTACAAATATGAATACTATCCTAAAGGTATAGGTTGATACCCTTATTGGTCTCAGAAAAATACAAAAAACAGGAAAAAGATACATAATTTTTGTCTTGCCAATTTTATATTTGTAGCTTCAAGCAAAATATGACAGCTTTAACAGCTCAAAGTAGTATTCTAAAAACATTTCCAAGCTATGTGTGGTATTGTAATACATCTATTTTAGTTATGAAGTACTATTTTGTAATTTTAATATGACTTTATAGTGCCCTACCCCTGGAAAATTGAAGAAAGTGGATGTGGTGAATTTTATCATTTTGCAGCATTAAGTTAGAAACATGTATTGATAGACACCAAATCAATAAATTCATACCATCATCAAATGTTAGGTGACATTCTAATTCATTTATTACTAGAATATAGGACTTAAGATATTTTATATGTAAGTTTTCAATTTAGTACATGTATCATAATGAAATCTAGTGTAATCACATACTAGAGAGGTTGGCATACAGTCTGGACATTGACATAAAGTCTAAACATTATAATCATCAATTGATCTCATTTGAGCAACTAGACTATGGTGGTCATCATGCACAAGTAATGTACAGTAGAACCTGCTAAGTGGAACAGCTCTGTAAGTGGAACACCTCCCAAGTGGAACGCCTTTTCAAAGTCCCTTTTTAAAAACCCATTGACTTAATGTTTATTGAACCTCTGTAAGTGGAACACCTCCAAACATGAACAGTGAACACCCCATATTGAAAAATTAACCTGCTAAGTGGAACAGTCAATTTCCATAGATTTCAATATTGATATATGTAAACAGAATTAATCTCCTTCAATGATATCTGGGTATGAAAACAGGTAATACTGTGATAATTGGCAAATTAGGACTTTAATGGATTTTAATGGATTAACCTCCTGTAGAGGTCAACATGTGATGCAACCAATAATTAATTTGATAAACAGCAAATTAGGATTTCATAAGATTATCATTCAGAAAATTGGATTAACCTCCTGTAGAACTGGACACGTGATGCTACCACTAATTAATATCCCTTGCTGTTTGTTTCAAACTTAATAAGTAAGATTAAAAATGTCATTTAAAAACAATTGAATTATTAGCAGTAGGAACAAGTCTTTAAAACTTAATAGCCTAATCTTTGTACCCAAGACTGGCACAATTAGGAGGATTAAGAATGTCAGAAAACATTTTTGGCAGAATGAGGAGGATTAAGAATGTCAGATACCTTTTTGAGTGAAATAAATGGATTATTAATGGTATATACCTGCCCTGTAATGAAGGGAGAATCATATTTCCAATGATACATATAAATCCTATATTTGATCTTGTATGTTCTCTGCGAACCCAAAACCTCCATAAGTGGAACACCTTCTAAGTGGAACGCTTTGTGGCAGAACGGAGAGTGTTCCACTTACACAGGTTCTACTGTATTTACATAATAATGTTATAAAGGAGCATGTAGGTTATCGCAAACAACTCCAGATAATTCTAACTTGAATTATGAATATTTTCTGACCATGAACATGGGTATATCTTTTAGATCTATTCATTATCTTCAAGAAAAGTAAATATAATGATTGAAACCAGACCTAAGTGATATTAAAGGGAATGGCCCAATCAACATACTTTTTACTAAAAATGTTGACCTAATTTTTACCAAAGATGCAACCTTTAATTATATTGTTGAATGCATAATTAGAATATGCTTTGAGACATGTTCTATTTCCTAAGAGGAAAAGTGGATTGCTCCAGGGACTTTAAAGACACCGAATTGTTGACATTGTTAAAATGATGGCATTTTTGGTGAAAATGAGGTCAACAACTTTGAAAAAATATATTGATGGGTTGATTGCTAGTGAAATATCTCTGAGTCCAATTGACTTTATTATCCCTGTATACCTGTCTTCATGATCAGAAAATAGTCATAATCAAAGATATAACTGTCTGAAATTGTTTGTGATTACTTACCTGAACCTTTCCAGGTCAAATCAGGAGTGACAAAATTATTTCCACCAAATTTTTGACATGTCTTCAAATACGATAATATTTTCTTCATAAGATAGAGTGTCACTTGTGAAATTTATTGATTGACCTGAGATCGTACCACATCTTTATGACATAGAAGCGAAATAACCATATTGAACTTTAATGATGTTTGTTTAATTGTTGTTTGCCACTTTTCGACAATTTTCAAAATTTGGGGGTTTGGGGGAGGGGTACAATTAGGTTAAAAAATTCACCTGATTCAGACTATCCTTAAATGAGCACTGATTCACCCGAGAGCATAACTTTTTCAAAACATGTAAGTGTTATTTTTGGACCACTCACATTAATGTTTCGTCTAATTTTCCCTCAGAGTTTCATCATCATTGTCCAAATCTTAGGCCATATTTGTTGAGATATATGAATGTTCATTATTAAAATCTTGCCTTCCTTTGCAGTTGGAAAAGATTCGGCATTAGGTGTTATAAGTCCCAGAGCACGATAAATAAATAAAAAAACAACAAAATGACATAGAACTGATAGACGTTTTCTCTTGTGCGTGTCAGCCATGGTCTACCAAATTGCTATTCAGTAGGAAGAAACTCATTTTTCAGTTTCCATTTTAATTTCCTGACAAATAGAGCGATCATCTCAGGATTTTTTCTATGATCTATGTGTCGCCCTAGCAACTTCTGTTTTAGAGAACAATAGAAAAGATTACTTTACCATAATTTTAATCATTCCACATTGTAGACATATTTATAATTAAAAATATGAAGAGAATGACAAAATCTCTTAAAACACATTTCTTAGGAAACAAATAGTGTCGTATTCTTGTTACTATGGCAACAGAGTTTTTTCTTTTTGTCATTTTTGTCATACAGATTACCTATCATACCAGGACCAAATCCTGAAAATTTGAATTCAGTATCTTCATTAGTATCTTAGATATATAGGTTTCTTATAGTATCCCCTGCAGATTTTATTGGAGTATAAGGAAAATGCTCTGAAGAGGGTTGCCCAAGGATGCCACTTAACAGTATTTTTGAGGTCCCAACCCTCTATTCATGGGAATAGTTAACCATTGTAAAGCTTCTCATGGTTAACTGACAGAATTGATTGTATCTTCAACTAAGAAGACAATAAAATGTTATAAAACAAGAAGAAAACCAAACCAACTTTCTTCTATTTACCAGGGGTAGGGCACTATAAAGTCATACTAAAATTACAAAATAGTACTTCATCACTATAATAGATGTATTACAATATCACACATAGCTTAGGAATGTTGTTAGAATACTACTTTGAGCTGTTTAAGTTATCATATTTTGCTTGAACCTACAAATATAAAATAAGCAAGAAAAAATGACAAAAATTGAATATTTTTTTCTAATTAATTGTATTTTTCCGAAACCAACAAAGATATCAACCTATAACTTTAAGGTAGTATTCATCTCTGTACTAACAATGTATGCTGTAGAACTCAGAACAATAGTTTATATATCCTTTGAGTTATGAACTAGTTTCATAGTACCCCCTAGAATATTTTCCTAGGGGGGTAAAAACGCTCAAATTCAGTGTCGTGACCACCACGTTGAGCTGTCATCTTTTAATATCTTTATCAGCATGAAAAACTGATCCAGAAGAAATAGGTCTGTTGCTTTTTCTAGAAAATGCCTCAAAAACCCTTTCCCTTGAGATATTCTGAAATTGGAACCTGTCTATAGTGATAAAACAAATTACTCTCATTTTCGAAATATGTTTTCCGTTCCTTGGCAATAATCTTTCATTTGGTACCGATCCAACCGCCGAAAAGTAATTCGAATCGTTCTGAATCGTGGGAATGAAGTACTTTCTTTTTTGCGCATGCGCATAGAACACGGGATATTCGGCCATTTTTCAACTTTCAGTTTCGAAACATAATTTCATGCATCTATTTTGCGTATAGCAGTCGTTATAGGTTAGGCTGTCCTTCGTTAAAAATAATATACGGAAATGAACCTAAGTAAACAAAGAACTCTAGAAACTACCGATTTTTAACAGTGGACGTGTCTTGAGGAAGAAATCGACTCTGGAGCTAACAATTTGAGGGTGAAAATTGTCGTGTTTTGCATTTTCAATTAAAATTAATCACTTCCTTACATGTTCTTCACACATCTCAGCAACTAGTGGATGGATTGCTACCATTTTAGGTAAGTTTACTCTGTAGTGTTGTTTGAATCAGCATGTCGATTATTGAAAGGATTCCATATATTTTTACTTGATATATCTAACAATCATTTTCTACAAATTTCAGGTAGCATCAAAACCGACCACCCTTAATACTATTAATAAGCAGTAGACTCATCGGAGGGCTTGCCCGACGCCTCGAGACAAGCCCCTGTGCCTGAATCGATTGCAAACTTAATAATTTCACAATACGGCACAAATGGTTTATCTCATCAAATGTGCAAATATGAAGTTTGCAATCGATTCAGGTCATACTTAAAATTAAAAGATTGTACATTTTTTCATCATTTTTTTCCCTACAAAATGGCTATAGAAAAATGCTCCAAAAACAACTTTTACACTTATCAAATATCACACAAGTTTGTAAAACCAAAGATTTTACTATTATATTTCATTATGTAGTAACATATTTGGATAAGATGCAGGGATGCGTAGGATGTAAATGGATTTTGACATACACAAAAATTTTTCCTGGTTTGGAGTCTATACCTTTACACTTCATGATTGAATTATGACCCTAATAAGTGGCCTATACATCAATACAGTGCTGAATATAGGCCTATACATCAATACAGTGCTGAATATAGGTCAACAAGATACTAGTGTGCATATAAATGTAATAATTGAAGCAGAATACTCATTTTGAAAAATCAGATGAATTATTTTTTTCCCATGGGGAGATCCCAATGGAGGGTGTATAAGGTCCTTTGATAGTAGATGGTCAAATAATCATTTGAAAATGATACGTTCAGCTATTTTTGAAATACAACAAAGGAGCGTGATTGGACGGGAATTTTGAATATTTGATTTATCACCCTTTTTATGAACAGGTAAAATATGCCCACTTTTCCAAGTTTGATCAATTATCAATATGTTACAGGAAATTATGATTCTGTCATGAACAAGTAATTAAGGAACAAAGCTGAAAACTTATGAGCAGTTATTAGAGATTAGGGCATATCATTTACATGATGGTTATAACCACCAGTTTACTTTTGTGACTGGATGTTATAACCACCATTTTTGGTGGCTGGATCAATGCTATACATGTATATGGAAGAACATGTGTGTTTCATAGCTCAGTCATAGAACTTTTTCCAGTAATGGGTCAAAAGGTCAGGAGGTCAGGGGTCAATGGTTTATCGGCCAAGTTCCACTGGGATGGACTGACTTGATCACATCATACTTATGATATAAACAGTTACTTCGTTTGACCAACATGATATCATGTATGGTAGAGTACAGCTCCAGGATTGTGGGCATGTAAGACATGGCTGCAATGATGCGGAAGAGCCAGTTATTTTGTTTCCATTGCTCAGTAGTAGAGCTTTCCAAACTGGTCTCTCATGACATGATAAAACCCAGTAGGCCCTTTGTTCAAGTGAATCATTCACTACAGACATATTACTGTATACATGTACTAGATATACTGAACAGCATTTGATTGTAAGAAAATCTACTTCCAGGATAGTCCTGCTGTTCAAAAACGTCTTGCAGTTCTGGGTTGCCAGCTGAGGAAGGCAGAGCTTGGCAAGAAAACATATGAAGTGGCAACTGAAAAACTTTTACATTTTGCAGAGGTGAGCTGTTTGTTTTTGGGAGTAGATCCTGTGTGTGAAAGTTAATTAAAATAAAACTTTTGCCATCTTAGATGAAAGGACCAAGACTAGATATTTTCTTACCCCAAGAAGTGATACTACTAATTTTTTTTTATTTGTGTTTGATGAGAATTGCTGTTTTTCTAATTTATTTTATAACTTAATAATTGTTGACAATTTATGTTTACGTCTAGTTGGTTTTTCATTATGAAAGTTGTTCTTTCAACATACAGCTATTAAATTAACTCCTGTAAAATCATTGTTTATCGTTTATTTATTATATTGACAGTGAAAGGATGAAGTTAATGCTTTTTACACACTTATCACGATTTACCATAAATAATTATTGTAAGTTTCAGCAGCAAACATAGATGACAATGTAGATCATGAAAAATTGTTTTATATTCACTGCAAAAATATCATAATCATAATTACCAACTTCCAGTCAGTGGTATGTGAAACAATGTAGAAAGATTATAATGATTGCATCAAATCAACAAACTTAAACATGTTTCAAATGAAAACGTATCCAAAACATTTGAAAATGTAAGTTATTTCTAGCAGATTTCCAAAAACATCGACGTTCAGTTCCAGACAATGATTTGTATGCATATTTACAAATACAGAGATTGACGACCCTCCTACACACATCAAAATGGATGGCACGAATTTGAGTAGTTATTGGCCTCTTGAGATCAGCAATGGTCAGTCAGCACACATATTGTCTTTAAGATGTCACTACTGATAAAAATCTGTTGGTTGAGATCTAGTGAATGAGCTGCCCATATGCTTTGCCTCTACGACTGATTAACTGACCACCAAAGCATTGCCTAAACCATTCCAGCATATCATTTGCAGTGTGGAGGTGGCACTTGTTGAAACCATTGCCTATCTCTATGAATACTCCTTCTGGTGCCTAGTGATCTCCAAAGCTTAGTGAGAACTTGAATATAACGGTCCTCATCCTTGTGATACCAAATTCCCAGTCATCTTCGAATCAATAGGGACAGATGATTCCATGTTTGCTTAATGCCACCAAAGGCAGTACATTTTTCAGAATGCAATGGATGCTGTAACACTTCATCAGAGGATGTAAGGCCCACTAGCAGCTGTTCTTGGAATTAACTTGTCCATTCAAAAATAAATGTGTGGAGGAGGGTCACCAACAACTTCGTTCGCAAAATTCAATTGTGCATAAAGAGGAGAGGTGCCTACTTTGGGCATGTTTTGTAAAGTGCTGTAGTTTTTTACTCAACTGGCTGAAAAAAACTTTCACAACAAAATTCACATTGAATAAACTAAATAATTCTGAATTTTCAAGACACCCGTGTAGCTCAGCGGTAGCGCATGTACCTCTTACGCAATAGGTCCCGGATTCGATCCCCGGTTCAGGCAAGACTAAATTTGCTTGTTTGCGTGAAGTACTTCAGGGTGTTTGACTGAGTGGTCCGCAACTCGTACAAAAGGCTGTGGTGTGTACTTGTATGTCTATGTATAAGTGCACATAAAAGAACACAGGGCTCCTTCAAGGAGGGGTTTCTGGGTCTATCTTCAAGGTTAATTACGTAAATTACGACCGTATATATACGGGATATACCCTAGAGGTATTGCTCACCTTCATTGGTGGTAAACAAAATACAAAACAAGACAGAATATGCAAGATTGACCGAGTTATTCAACTTTTCTTTGGTCCTGTTTTTTTGGACACCCTGTATAAAGCAAATTACTGATCTGGGGGACATTAACAGAAACTTCATAAAGGAAGGAATTCCTAAACCAATTTTTGTTACCATGGATGTAATGACATTATAGTGAGAGAACAATGGACTTAAAGAATTCTTAACTTTACAAAGTGTTTTACAAAGCATCAATCGTGGCTATAAAATGTTTTGTTTGATGGTTAGAATGTGATAACGCACGCTAAATGTGTGAAGTTGTAATTGACACACATTTTATATTTCAGATGGTGCATGAAACATTGTCCACTCAAGGAGACGTGGCCTTTATTAGGTAATATACCTTATTATTATCTCATACGTGGCCTTTATTAGGTAATATACCTTATCATTATCTCATACATGGCCTTTATTAGGTAATATACCTTATCATTATCTCATACGTGGCCTTTATTAGGTAATATACCTTATTATTATCTCATACGTGGCCTTTATTAGGTAATATACCTTATTATTATCTCATACGTGGCCTTTATTAGGTAATATACCTTATCATTATCTCATACGTGGCCTTTATTAGGTAATATACCTTATCATTATCTCATACGTGGCCTTTATTAGGTAATAAACCTTATTATTATCTCATACATGGCCTTTATTAGGTAATATACCTTATCATTATCTCATATGTGGCCTTTATTAGGTAATATACCTTATTATTATCTCATACGTGGCCTTTATTAGGTAATATACCTTATCATTATCTTATACATGGCCTTTATTAGGTAATATTATACAAATTTTGAATTCTGTGGAGTTGAATATCTGTATATATTTTTGAAGGTGTATTCACCGCAGCCCGAAGGGCGAGGTGAATACATCCCTTAGAAATATTTATAGTTATTAAACGATCACAGAATTCAATATTTGTTTTATTATTTCCTCATTATAAAATAGTACACAATATTGAAGTTAGAAGTACACATAATTGTTATGATTTGACGTTTAGTTTCAACGTATTTCCAAACGTTTGCAAATATTCTGTTATAATTCACGATCTCAGTCACACCATAGATGAAAATTAGCTTCGGAACTTCCATGTTGAAGTCCATTGTCTTTGTGCTTTGGTTTGTTGACTTTTTGAACACATCTGTAAATTCTTTATCCAGTGTTTATTATACAGTTGTGAACCTTTTCTTGGGAGGACTTCCTGAAACAATGAGAGAACTAGGGCTGGCACGGAACGGAATTATTATCCGAACCGTCCGATTTTGCCTTCGGAAACGGACTTTCGGACCTACCCTCTCATATACCGATAATTTTCGGAACTTTTATTTTCCGTTAAGAATATTCACTTATTGTTATAGCGACACGCTAACTCGCTATAGCGAACTAGTATTATGAAATGAAATCAATAAATATATATAATTATTAAACATTTTCACTTGGTAAAGTTGTTTTATATGTAATGAATGATAGAAATAAATAAAGTATGATTGTTTTATATATATTCAGTACCCATAAGAAAAGACAAGCCAAGTTCCGAATTCCGTTCCGTGCCAGCCCTAGAGAGAACGAGTATCACAGCATGGAAATAATAAACCTTATTATTATCTCATAGCTAAAATTGCATGCTAGTGGTCACATGATAGCAAATTGGCTTATTCAAAAATATTTCAAACACTGAATTAGAGCCAAATATGGAAGATGTATTAGTGTTTTTCATAATATTCAAAAAAAATCTTTTTCTGAGAGAATAATGAACCAATCTTGTTCATACATGTAGTTGGTAGGTAGTTGCCATAATTGTATTTCCTTGCAGGTTTCAATAATATAAATTTACTGCTTAACAACATTTGCTATGTTAACAAGATAATGATGCTTTATATCACATAACTTGTGTAAAAAGAAATGACTTATATATTTAATGAGAAAACAAGTAATAAATATATTGAGGATGATTTCACTATACATGGCCAAAGAATCTTAGCATTGAATCAATGGAGATTTGGCTCAAGTTTTAACAGAAGTCATAACAAATGATTTAGATGAAAGTTATTATTGTAGAAAACATTTCACCGAATTCAAATATGCTATTAAAAGGAAGAAAAGTTAGTCGTTAGAAGTGCAACAACTTTAATTTAAACAACAACTTGTGATGCTTCCATGGCAACTGTGACATCATTTCCCAATTTGTCATCTGAATCATCTGATTTTATGAAGTTGTCAAAGTTTCCGATGAGTTTTGTAAAGTGATTTTGTTAATTTAATTTTTTCTAATTTTATTTTTTGGATGACATCAAATTTTGCCTTTAATCTTACTCTCCAAACATTACCACTGTTTTATGTCAGTCATGGTTTCAGTTAATCTTGAAGCATAACCTCTATAGAAAGCAGCTGACCAGATATAATACTTGTACACTCTCTGTGTATCACATAAAATATAAGGTCTACATTGGTTTATTTTCCAAGTTTGATGTTTAGAACATATATTTTAGAGAAAGGGGATACTCGAAGTAAAGTGTTTATATGGAAATATTTTTGTTAATGTGCTTATCTTTCTGCAAGGAAATCCCTCGACTTACATGTGAATGAGCCCTCATCGTAAGGGTCAACTGTCTACAAGGAACAGTATTAGCCAGTACAGAGAGCATTGCATATTTTACTGTGTTTATAAAATCATTCTCATTTGTTACTTTTAGAAAAACACCTGTAGAAGAAGGAGAGACAGCAAGGGTTGATGGGAAACCACCCGGCTACCTGGGCAAACACAAAAAGCATTCTCCTAGAAGCCTTTGTGCTGAATCCCGGGATGTCGTTAAAGCTGTAAAATCGTTGATTGAGGTGGAACGTAAGTCTATTTGCATTTCTGGATACATGTACTGCCCAACAGCTCATGCTTAGGGATTGTCTAGCATGAACTTCTTCTTATTTTAGATCCTCTTATACCTTGTTCAGATCCTCTTATTATGTCACCACCAAAAGTGGTGACATATTGTTATGGTCTCCGTCTTTTTTGCGACGGCAGTTGGCGTCCGGCGGTTGGCGTCCGGCGGTTGGCGTCTGTAACAATTTCTTACAACTTCCTATAACTTAACAAAATACTGTTTAGACTGACTTCAATTTTTTTCTAAATCATCTACATGTTCTCAGAAGTTCAAATCTGACTTTAGATTTGACATTTGACCTTCAATGACCTTCTCAAGGTCAAAAAGGTCTTTTTTTCAACTTGCTTCACATTGACTAAATTTTTTTTCAAAATCATCTACATGTTCTCAGAAATTCAAATCTGACTTTAGATTTGACATTTGACCTTCAAATCTGACTTTAGATTTGACATTTGACCTTCAATGACCTTCTCAAGGTCAAAAAAGGTCAAAAAGGTCTGTTTTCAACTTGCTTCAAATTGACTAAATTTTTTTTCAAAATCATCTACGTGTTCTCAGAAATTCAAATCTGACTTAAGATTTGACTTAAGATTTGACATTTGACCTTCTCAAGGTCAAAAAAGGTCAAAAAGGTCTGTTTTCAACTTGCTTCAAATTGACTAAAAAAAAATTTCAAAATCATCTACGTGTTCTCAGAAATTCAAATCTGACTTTAGATTTGACTTAAGATTTGACATTTGACCTTCAATGACCTTCTCAAAGTCAAAAAAGGTCAAAAAGGTCTTTTTTCAACTTGCTTCAAATTGACTAAATTTTTTTTTCAAAATCATCTACATGTTCTCAGAAATTCAAATCTGACTTTAGATTTGACATTTGACCTTCAATGACCTTCTCAAGGTCAAAAAAGGTCTGTTTTCAACTTGCTTCAAATTGACTAAATTCTTTTTTTCAAAATCATCTACGTGTTCTCAGAAATTCAAATCTGACTTAAGATTTGACTTAAGATTTGACATTTGACCTTCAATGACCTTCTCAAGGTCAAAAAGGTCTGTTTTCAACTTGCTTCAAATTGACTAAAAAAAATTTCAAAATCATCTTCGTGTTCTCAGAAATTCAAATCTGACTTTAGATTTGACTTAAGATTTGACATTTGACCTTCAATGACCTTCTCAAAGTCAAAAAAGGTCAAAAAGGTCTTTTTTCAACTTGCTTCAAATTGACTAAAAAAATTTTTCAAAATCATCTACATGTTCTCAGAAATTCAAATCTGACTTTAGATTTGACATTTGACCTTCTCAAGGTCAAAAAAGGTCTGTTTTCAACTTGCTTCAAATTGACTAAAAAATTTTTTCAAAATCATCTACATGTTCTCAGAAATTCAAATCTGACTTTAGATTTGACATTTGACCTTCAATGACCTTCTCAATGTCAAAAAAGGTCAAAAAGGTATTTTTTCATCTTGCTTCAAATTGACTAAATTTTTTTTCAAAATCATCTACATTCTACATGTTCTCAGAAATTCAAATATGACTTTAGATTTGACTTTAGATTTGACATTTGACCTTCTCAAGGTCAAAAAAGGTCAAAAAGGTCTTTTTTCAACTTGCTTCAAATTGACTAATTTTTTTTTTCAAAATCATCTACATGTTCTCAGAAATTCAAATCTGACTAGATTTGACATTTGACCTTTAATGACCTTCTCAAGGTCAAAAAAGGTCTGTTTTCAACTTGCTTCAAATTGACCAAATTTTTTTTTCAAAATCATCTACATCTTTTCAGAAGTTCAAATTTGACTTAACAAGTTCTCAGAAATTCAAATCTGACTTATATTAAGTTTGAACTCATAATATTGTGAGCAACTAGGTGGTGACATTTTGTCATGTTAATGCCTTGTAATCCTCTTATATTAGACCCTCTTATAACATACCTATGATGATGTTTGCTGTTTACTGTTCACAAGACAGTGGACCACCAATATTAGTTATAACTTTTTATGTCACCACCAAAAGTGGTGACATATTGTTATGGTCTCCGTTTTTTTGCGACGGCGGTTGGTGGTTGGAGGTTGGCGTATGGCGTCCGGCGTCTGTAACAATTTCTTACAACTTCCTATAACTTAACAAATACTGTTTAGACTGACTTCAATTTTTTTCTAAATCATCTACATGTTCTCAGGAGTTCAAATCTGACTTTAGATTTGACATTTGACCTTCAATGACCTTCTCAAGGTCAAAAAGGTCTTTTTTCAACTTGCTTCACATTGACTAAATTTTTTTTCAAAATCATCTACATGTTCTCAGAAATTCAAATCTGACTTTAGATTTGACTTTAGATTTGACATTTGACCTTCAAATCTGACTTTAGATTTGACATTTGACCTTCAATGACCTTCTCAAGGTCAAAAAAGGCCAAAAAGGTCTGTTTTCAACTTGCTTCAAATTGACTAAATTTTTTTTCAAAATCATCTACGTGTTCTCAGAAATTCAAATCTGACTTAAGATTTGACTTAAGATTTGACATTTGACCTTCAATGACCTTCTCAAGGTCAAAAAAGGTCAAAAGGTCTGTTTTCAACTTGTTCAAATTGACTAAAAAAAATTTTCAAAATCATCTACGTGTTCTCAGAAATTCAAATCTGACTTTAGATTTGACTTAAGATTTGACATTTGACCTTCAATGACCTTCTCAAAGTCAAAAAAGGTCAAAAAGGTCTTTTTTCAACTTGCTTCAAATTGACTAAATTTTTTTTTCAAAATCATCTACATGTTCTCAGAAATTCAAATCTGACTTTAGATTTGACATTTGACCTTCAATGACCTTCTCAATGTCAAAAAAGGTCAAAAAGGTCTTTTTTCAACTTGCTTCAAATTGACTAAATTTTTTTTTCAAAATCATCTACATGTTCTCAGAAATTCAAATATGACTTTACATTTGACTTTACATTTGACATTTGACCTTCAATGACCTTCTCAAGGTCAAAAAAGGTCAAAAAGGTCTTTTTTCAACTTGCTTCAAATTGACTAATTTTTTTTTCAAAATCATCTACATGTTCTCAGAAATTCAAATCTGACTTTAGATTTGACATTTGACCTCTAATGACCTTCTCAAGGTCAAAAAGGTCTGTTTTCAACTTGCTTCAAATTGACCAAATTTTTTTTCAAAATCATCTACATCTTTTCAGAAGTTCAAATTTGACTTTACAAGTTCTCAGAAGTTCAAATCTGACTTTAGATTTGACCTTTGACTTTCAATGACCTTCTCAAGGTCAAAAAGGTCTTTTTTCATCTTGCTTCAAATTGACTAAAAAAAATTTCAAAATCATCTACGTGTTCTCAGAAGTTCAAATCTGACTTTAGATTTGACTTAAGATTTGACATTTGACCTTCAATGACCTAACTAGGTGGTGACATTTTGTCATGTTAATGCCTTGTTTAACTTTCTGATTGTTCAAGGCACTTGGACTAGTATGCAGATACTAACCGATCAACTGAAGAAAAAACTATCCAAGCAATTTTTCTAAACATGCTTCAATGACCATCTATTTCATCCAACATCACTTCATTCTCAAATAATTGTATTTATTAATCATGTTTATTGATCCATCAAGTGCTCAAGTTATAGGCTTAGAAAAATTACTTGCTTAGTTTTATCTTCAGTTAAGTTACACAAAAATAGACCATCAATTTCTGTGAAATATCTTTTAGTGGACATATTTTAATTTCTATCACTATCAGATACACTAGGATAATATGAAAGTGAACTGATATATATTCAAGTTTAAGGGAACTTTCTAATATATCTTCCATGCTATCTGGCCCAAATTAGCCACCTGGTGGTGCAACTGGTAATTACATACTCGCATTTGGATTATTAATTGCCTGTGAAATATAACACCATAAATGAAATTAATCACGTGTTTTATGTTGATGGCCAAGTTCCATGTATAAAAAAGAAGTAAACTTGATTAGAAAAAAAATCCTTATGGGTTCAATCTTATGTTGTTTTGGGGCAAATCTAGATATTTTCCTTGTTATACTATACTAAAAGAAATATAAAATGTTTTTTCTTATTAGACTCCAGATGTCAATCTGGAGTCTATTGTTTTTGCCAGTATTCTTATTATTATTATTATTATTATTCTTCTAAACACGTTTTCTCCTTAACCATAAGGTATCCAATAAAGACCATAATACAGTTCATTTGGGTTCAGTATCTAGTTGTTTGGAAATTGGGTCAAATTTTTATCTAGGTCAAAGGTCAGGAACTGGGTCAAATCCAGTACTTGGTCACTTTTTTCGATTTTCTCAGTCGTCCTTCAGTATTTTCGATCTGGTTTTTTTTCATTGTGTTCCTCATAAAAAAGTAGGAAACCTAGGGTCGATTTAGTTTTTTGATATCTCGAACCGATTTCGAGATATCAGTGTCCGAAAACGAGGTCCGAAAAAAAGTTCTCCGAATCCAATGTCCAGGATATTAGTCTTATAAGAAATTTTCTCAGGATTCCGAATCTGAAAACCGAATTGAAATCCGACTTCCGGTTCAGGAGTTATGACGTTTTGAAAGTTCGAGAAAGATCGATCTGATGGTACCCTCATAGAATGTCAAGAAAAGTGAAATAAAATTGAAAAAATACCAGTCAAGTCCATTTCCAGGTCCAAGTCAAGGTCAAGTCCAGGTCCAAGTCCAGTTTTGTCCAAGTCAAGTCTAGGTCCAAATCCAGTCCAGGACCTAGATCAAAATCTAGGTCTATCCTATCCTTTCTATCTAGATGATCTTATTCTGGATGATTCTCCCTTCCTATCTATCCTTCCTTCCTATCCTTCCTTCCTATTCTATCCTATTCTTCCTTCTCATTCAATCCAAGTCCAGGTCCAAGTCCAGGTCCAAGTCAAGTCTAGGTCTAAATCAAGTCCAGGGCCTAGGTCAAAATCTAGGTCAAATTCAAAGTTTTTCCTTATTTTTGAAATTCTGACACTACACTTTAATTATATTGTTCGAAATTTTGTAAACGTGTGGCCAAGAGTGTGCTTATAGTGTTAGCCTTTTGCCGTCAGAAAGTATTTTGACCCACTTTTGAGATATGGTGTCCGAAAAGTAGGTCAAAATAAAAAGTTCTCCAAATTTAACGTTTGAGTTATGAATTAAGAACAGAATTTTCTCAGAAATCCGAAACTGCAAACCAAATCTTGATCCGACTTCCAGTTCCGAAATTATGGCGTGTCCAAAAAGTAGGTCACAATAAAAATTCGCCAAATTTAACGTATGAGTTATGAATTAGGGGTAGAATTTTGTCAGGAATCCGAATCTTTAAATCAAATTTCGATCCGACTTCCAGTTCGGAAGTTATGGCGTTTTGAAATTTCGGAAAATCGATCTGATGGTATCCTGATAGAAAGTCAAGAGTAGAGAAGAAAATATTGAAACATTCATCCATCCTTTCTATCTGATCCTATCCTATCCTAATCCTATCTATCCTTCCTTCCTATCCTCTCCTATCATATCCTTTCTTCCTATTCTGTTCTATCCTATCCTTCTTTCTTATTCTATCCTATCGTTCCTTCCCATTCTATCCTATCGTTCCTTCCCATTCTATCCTATCCTACCTTCCTATTTTATCCATCCATCTTATTCTGGATGACTCAGCTTATTCTGAATGACTCGGCTTATTTTAGATGACTGGGCTTAAAAAAGTCTAGATCTGGAGTCTGAAATTGAACTTCGTTCAATTTCCAAAGTCTAGTTATTGTTATTTCAGCACTTCCATTTGGCTGGGAAGAGACATACACCGAGGATGGCATAAAATATTACACAAAGTAAGGATTCGTTTCCTCATTCAATTATATAAAATGAGTTGTCAAATAGTTACACCTGCATAACAGTTGGGACTAGCATGTTAAAAGTTCTAGCATGTCACTTGTTCTGGCATGTTAAGTTTTAGCAGGTTGCACATTAACTGCCATGCATTATGCTATAGAATGTACATTGACTGCCATGCATTATACTATATGATGTACATTGCCTGCCATGCATTATGCTATAGAATGTACATTGACTGCCATGCATAATACTATATTCTGGGCATTGCCTTTTAACTGACTTTAATCAATGTCAGTTGGTAGTGTAGAATTTAGCATGCATACTTCTTATAGTAGATCTTTATACATTTATACAAGTAATTGCATGATTTAGATATTCAATGTATAACGATACAAGTACTTACTCATGAAAACAAAAATTATTACTTGATTTGTTTTAGTTGCTTTTTCATATGCCTGTTTGTTTGTTTGTTTGTTTGTATGTTTACTTGTCTGATTTCTAAGTTGTTAATGTCTTTTTGTTTTTATTTATCTGAGGTAGTAGTTCAGTGTCCATCGCACAATCAGTTTGCGCATCTGAAATTGGATTCATACCCATGGGTTAGAAGCCAAGCAGGCGGTTGTAATAACACTTTCTTTTATTTTTGCTGATACTGTGCAGATTTGAATATATTGTATTAAAAATAGTTTGACTTTGGAAACAATGCATATCAACATTTCTAAAACACAGTTATGAGAGGGAGGGAGGGGGGTCACATATTAACTGTGCAAATACAATTAATAATCCTACATTGAATTTTTTAGATGTTCTCTTAAGCTGATCTATCAAGACCTTTATTGGGCAATGTAAGCCATTAAATGCCATGAAATAATAATATTTCCCCACTGATTTATAAAATTCAAAGTTATTTTATTTTTTTCTTAAAATCCCCAAAGTGAATTTTTATAAAAATTACCATAAATATTTTTATATTTTGGTAGAATAATCACAATCTGCATTGTGCAATTTTTTTAATTCAAAATATTAAATTTTCCCATTGAAAGCAATTTTCACATATTTTGTTAAATATCAGTATACACGAGGGGAAAGTTTACCCGTGTATATACAACCTACCGCCGAGCAAAGACCCGAAGATGTCTGAAAATGTAGGGAATAAGTTAATAAACTCTTGTTTTATATTGAATTTCTCAATATGAGAAATAGATAAAACACAGAATTGTTTGTAACCGATATAATTTTTGTTCCAGGCACTCATGTTAAGAGAATAATGAGTACTTAATGCAATATTTACTATCAAATCGCTAAATTCAACTTCTAAATATTAGAATGATGTTTTACATCTTAAATAAGTAAGAACCATGGCTGTATTTACTCCATTTGATTCAAAGATACAATAGGTGCAAACGTATTACATTTGTTTCACTGCCATACGTTGCATATCATTGAAATCACAGGTGAAAGTTGAAAATGAAAGACCCGATTATACCACGAGTGCGATTCTATAGGACCCGATGCTACCGCCTGAGTATTCCAATTATACCGTGAGTAAAACCCGATGAGGTAGTTAGTCAGTAAGCTTTCGAATGATCATATAATAAAATGAAGTATATCACAAATATTCCTGTTAATATGATATAATTCCCGCAGCACTATACGTCAACATCTGTGTCCCGCGAAGTTCTTTAAAACATTGAATTCATGCTTTCACTCGAATCACCATAATTTTCATTGTTGATGATATCACCATTTCTATCTAACTATGCTCATAATCCAATGAGTTTGGTACGTGTTATTTTGTATCTACCAAGACGGTAAACATATGAAAAATAGTTATATATTTTGATTGGTCTAAAATGTGCAAAGTTTACCCGTTATGCCCATTCGATCTCAATATTGAATAAAATAAGATATCAGTAGAAAGGCTACTAAAATGAAAAAAGATCGACCAGTTTTAGGAACGTGACACATATTCATTTTTATCTATAAATATGGATAATAATTGATTAAAATGCAATTCATTCGCTCTCAAGTTTGACTAAAATATCAGTACAACGGCTCCTAAAATGAAGAAAGATCATATTCATAATTGATTTAAACGCAATTCCGCACTTTTCCTATCCTCCAATGTTGATAGCCTAATTTCTGTTGTGTCAGTCTGGGTCAAAATGTTACAATAGTATTAATAACGAGTAACCCTTCTAATAAAGGCAATTAATCAAGGTTCGAAAACTCCCAAAAGTAACACTAGCACTATTTCATCATCAGCATGTCAGAGACTCGACGATATAATCGGATCTCAACAGATTTTACTCATGTAATTTTCGGATTCTGAGATCATTTACTCAAGATATTTTTGGATCTTTATAATATTACTCATCGATCACATCGGGTCCGATGTCAGATAGAACATCTTAGTAACGATTCTAACCATCCAAGGGAATTGATAGAGGTCCAATATTACATTTATTGTCCATTTTCCTATGAGATGTAGTTAACCAAACATTTGATATGCGGTATATGCGTGTCTTGCTCGGCGGTAGGTTGTATATACACGGGTAGACTTTCCCCTCGTGAGTATATCTTTCACCTAGATTTGTCAAGAAAATCTGTGTTGTAGAAAAAACTGATGGACACTGAACTACCTTGACCTTTAAACATTTTTATTTACAATGAATGCTTATTTACCTAACATTTTGTTATATTGCAGTGTATGAATAAAAGTCAGGTATAATTAAATCTGCTTTGCTTTGCTTTTGAGCAAGATGTTCCATCCTAGAATGCATTAAACACTGTTAAATGAATTGAACAGTAATAGTGAGGCATTGTGGGATGGAGCCCCTCATTCAAAGGAGGCTTCAAAAGTCCAATGTACGAACTGTACCAAAAAAAACATTTTTCCCAGAAATGTATTTTCAGGTCCAGTTCAGTGCTAACTCTGATGCTAAAATGCAACAAAATTAACGTCAATTTACATTTTTTTAATGATTTGAACCATCTGAGTTTTGGTTTATGAATGGACTGATGGAGTAAGTTTAGTTTTCTGACATCAAACTTTTGAAGCCTCTCCTAAAGGCAAGCCACTCACAATACTTCCAATTCCATATAATCTGACATGTTTCATCCCACTTTTTCTTTGGCATGAAAAGTGCTATATTGTCAACGCCTTGGGCTGATGGCCATGCATCTGTCTGTATGGGTTGGCCATGCGTCTGTCTGTATGGGTGGGCCATGCATCTGTCTGTATGGGTGGGCCAGCTGCGTCACAAGAATCTTTCATCAGAATTTTAGGAAAACTACTTACTTGTTCAACTTGAAACTTTACACAATGCTAGAGCAGACTAGTGCCAAGATCTTATTTGGTCTAATTTGGGACACCAATTTGAATTTTTGGGAGAAAGTGATATTTATCACTGTATGTCTTGTATTTAGTGGAATGGTTGAAATCTTTAAAAAGCACAATATGCTTACCAGTTACCACATGTATAAACATGCTTTACATGAAACAACTCAAAATGCTGGCTCACCCAGAAAACATGAAACATTGTATTTCCGTTCACGCTTAACACTGCTTAAGGACCTAACCTATCCTTCCTGCTTATTATTATTATTGGGCAGATACCCGCTGCTCATTAATATACTAGTTAGTACTCTAAAATTTTGGTTTCACTTGAAAAAGTCACCAACTGATTCATATTCATTCATTTTTAGTAAACATGAGGAAGACTCACATGAATCAGGGCATTGGAGCTTCTTTTCATTTATCACTCGAATTTTGTCAATATCCAATAAAAATATTGATAAACCAAAAATCGATACATGTGATAAAGTCAAAATTGATAATTTAATTAAATATACAATGACAAATTTAGAAAAAGAATACAAAAGCATGTTTATGCAAGACATCAATAGACCAAATGATGCTCCGGGTAAATTCAGAAGCTATAAACTAGTAAAACATGCATATAAAAGAGAAAGTTATCTTTATTTACAGAACTCCACCTATAGACAATCTATTTCTAAGGTACGGTTATTGATGCATAACTTCCCAATTGAACGAGGTCGATACTTCAAAGTAGAAAAATCGAAACGATTTTGTTTCTTCTGTAATTCAAAAAATACAATAGGTGATGAAGAACATGTTCTTTTCTGTTGTTCTCAATCAGAACTAATACTAGCTCGATCTTTATATATCAGTAAAATAAAAAGTATAAACAATAGTTTTTCTCATTTTAATACAAGAAGTCTATTTTTATACTCCTTGTTAGCGCACGATGATGCAATTAATGAAATAATTGGTGATTATTTTACAAGAGTTCACAATATTACCAAAGAGTTGTTAAACAAAATTGACGTGAAATCATTTTATGCTATTAAGTATAGTACTTAATGATTGTTAAAATTAGATTGTAAGTATTGTTTTGCCATGCATGTACATAAATGTTTTATTTGTTATTTGCTTTATTGGACTTACATCTCGATGTACATTACATGTTCAAGAGACCAATAAACTTATTAATAATAATAATTATTACTTTATTTTAAACCCAGAGAAAAAAGGAAATTAGAAATGATTAAATATTTTCTCTGATTCCCTCATTGACTTGAGTCTCATGTTTTGAAGTAAATTCTAATTGTAATTTGTGAAAATATGCTGAACTGACACTTTGTCTTACAGTCTATCAAATCTGTGTGCTTAACTACAGTGTTCATTAACATTTTAACAAATACTGTGATACATTTACATGCTGTGACAATAATCTTAAGAGGCAGTCCTTCTGTTGTACAATTTTATGATTTTTATTGGTGAATTTATTTCAGTATAGACACAGCAAATAAATGCCAATAAATAGCCCCCTTGACAATGAATATTTAGCTGGTAAACAATTTATTTAGTTTTAATTTTGGGATTGAAAGCTCCCAAACTTGCTAACTTGTTCAACAGTTCCAACAGTTCTGATATTATTTCATGATAACAATCCTTCTATTTCTGTCAGGTTATCTGTCTCCTTTTTAGTTTCAAATAAATTTGGACATTCCTGTAGCATCACTTTTTAATAATTTCTATATTTGTTCAGATTTCTCTTTTATTAGATTGTGAGGGAAACATTAGCATACTTTGAAAATATTAAGATATGATTAATAAAGTAATGGGAATGTGACATACATACAGTAATTATGCCATTAGTGCTATTAATTTAACAGTTACACGTGTATGTCATGTATAATTACATTCATGAAATCTACTTAAAATGTTATATATACTGTATATAATTGTCAGGTTAAAAGCAAAATAATTCAAATTCAATAGACTTCTGATTGTGTATGAGTATTATATTATCATTATTTTGCCTTGTTGAGAGAATACAATATTCAAAATTAGATAATTATTATCTTATGCTAGACTTACTACATATATTTATTGCCACAATGTTCACATTATCTGCTTCATTTCATTTGTGTATATAGAAACAGGCTGGGAATTCAGTGTGTTGGAACTCATAAGTCAAAATAAGTCAACAACCTGACTGTACCATTTAACATAATGTATGTCTATTTATTCTGATGATTGGTATTTTCAATAAATGTAACTTTTGAAAGGACCCGTCCACATTTATTACTTTGACCTTTCACAGGTGTAGATGGAGTTTGCCTTTGTTCTATTGGTTGCCTTCTCCCAGGTGACCTTCACCTTGGACCTTGACCTTAATAGTTGATGACTTAATTCAGAGTTCCTTTACTTTCTGATGTCACAACTAGAAGCTCATGGCTATTGATTTTACACTGGGTTATCTCATTTCATAGTTTTTACCAACAACCAATATGTAAATTATGATTTTACATTATTCCTGCACTATTCATATGTTATTTAATTTATCATTGCATTGGATTAACTCAATGAAATGTAATAGATTGTTGATGGTTGTGTTGATTTCTTTTTGCAGCCATCTGACCCAAGTTACAACATGGACACATCCAGCATCTAATGTACTCAAGAAGCCTACTCCAGTCACTCACATACAACACAGCTCAGAATATGTAGCCCCTAGTGCAAAGAATATTCCAGGAACTCAGACTTGAGAGCATGCTGATGTCAGAACCACATATGTTATTCTACTATTCATTAAGGACAAGAGGCTAATAGTAGTAGAGTAATTGGATGATTATATCGTTTAATGCCGATACGATCTTAATGATTCTAGCAACAGCTATCATGGATTTTGATGGAAAGTAAAGGCCAACTAGTTATGAAGGCATAAAATCATATACCATGATTTGGTGTCTGGATTTTGATTGAAGCTACATCAAAGTATCTCTTGAATTATTCAATGACTGAAGCTCTCTTTTTTTAAAGAAGTGAAATGCTTGATGAATGTTCATCACTTTCTTATTCTAATTAGTTTATAATATCCCAGCTCAGAGGTTCAGTTCTGAGAAGGTTCAACGCAAAATTTTCCATCTTCAGAAGAAAGAATGTTATGATATTGCATATACATATTTATTTTATCATTAGAATGTTTCTCGCTTTCTCATTGGATAAGAACCGATCACATGATTAAAAATATGAGGGTGTATTTCCTTGTTTCTCCATTGTTATAATGTCACAGTTTATATTTGTAGTGTGAGCATGGGTACCCATAGCAATTGTGCATCCATTGCTATGTTGTTGATGTTTATAAACCAGTGATGTCACACGTCTTCTTGCACATGTGGCTTTTAAGGATGAAAGATGGCAATATCTTGCATGGGACTAAGAGTGGCTGTATCTTGGTTATTCATATGAGACACATGTATTGTATCTATGTATTAAATGGTTTAAAGAAATACACCTAATTTGTAGAACATTCAAATGATATAATAAATCAAATATTCCATTCTATTTTCGGTGAATACATGTTCATCTTTCCCTCAGAAAAAAATATAATATTTTTGAATTTAATTATTTATATAATTATTACCTGTATTAGATTTAGAAGATCATATAGTTTGAACTTCTATTAAATTTGGTGCTATGTAAATTATCCCATCGAGCAAAGTTCGTAGGGATATAGAGACTAGAGAGGCTCTTCATCCATTCATCGTTTATTTGTTCAGGCAATAAATCAAATACTGGTTGATGGATTTGATTCAAATTTTTAAGACACAGCATTTTTGACAAAAAAAGTATTTTTTAACGACTTAAAGGACCAGGTATAGTATGGCAAGTGATTTTAGACAGTCATATCTTTTACCACGAGTACTTTCTCAGTTTAAATATGACATTTCTCATTATTGCAATATGTTATCTTTGAACTAAATTCTCAAAGATGATAAAAATATCAATGGAACAATTTGAAAAATTATGGATAGGGACCCAATGTCAAATTTTTTTTTGAAATGTTGAACCTATTTACACAAAAGAGGATCTTCTTTCTGATATTTATTATTGCATTAAAAGATTATTCAACAAGGGGTCTAAAACTTCTTCAAAAGTAGAATGGTATTGAAAGTCTAGTTTTGAAAACATCAATTTTTGATGACCAAAATTATGCTGAAAACAATGGATGGCATGGGGTTTCCCTATGGGAAAACATGCTATGTGTTTTTTAAATTTATTGCATTTCAATACCCATCCCCTTTTCAGAGGCTTGATATATTTAAATTGAGAAAAATCAAGATCCTCGTTTTAGAAAATAAGAGATTTTTTAAAAAGTGACAAGATGGGGTCCTAATCCAACTTCAATTGAAAGAACACATATTCTAATAAATAATATATATATATCTTTTATTGACTCTCTGTTGTCATTGCAATGACATATTAGTCACTACAAACTACAATATACAAAATTAAACTAAGACTATTAACTAACTACTTCATAGGAAATATACAAAGTTGTAAAATACAATTACAGCATCACAAAATGTAAAATACAAAAATATGAGATAGTTGTAAAATACAGATACACCATGACAGAATTTAAAACATCAGTGTGATGTATCATTGTTACAATAATAATCCAGTTTTTTGAATGAATGATAAATGAACTTTGCTAGATGTAAAATTACATAAGAATTTTTATGAGACAAAAGCTTTTTGAAAATAAAGTCAGGACTTCCTACACTGTAACACTGTATTATGGCCAGAAAGCACTCAAAGTGAAAGATATGACTGTCCAGAATCACTTGCCATACTATCCTACCTAGTTTTATGATTATGTTTTGTTCGATTAGATTTGCAACTCCGTGAGTTGCTGTTTTCTAGTTAGTTTATTACACTACTGTGTATCCCATACCTGGATTAGGGGATAACACCTGGGTAGTGGTTGGAAAAATTCTAAGATAAGATAAAATTCAGTATGTACTACAAATTGTTAGTAGCAAGTGATTTATATCGTATTCTGTTATAATCAGGCCCGGAAGACACTTTTCTCCAAGGGGGGTGCGGTTTTTAGCTTACTAATATAAAATTGTCATTTTTTTGCCGCGTAAATCAAATCGCGTAATACAGAGGGGGGGGGCAGTTACTCGCTATATTGGTTTGGAATTAAATGCATGCAACTTCCAAACGTTCCAATTGTTTTGTGGGGGTGTGAGGAGTGGTCCACTCCCCCTAGAAAATTTTACAGTTTTGAGATGCTATTTAGGTGCTTTCTGGGCACTTTCAAAGTGTAAGTTTCTAAGTAGTACGCCACAACCACGGGAATAAGAGTTGAGTGAATAAAAAACCGAGCATTCAGGGGAGTCTGGGGGTTCTCCCCCAGGAAAATTTTGAAATTTGGTTGTATTTGGAGCGAATTTGCAACCATCTGGTACGCCTGTGCGTTATGAGTCAATAAGAAAAATGTGAATTTTTTTCAAATTCTTTTGGGGGTGTCAAAGAGGATGAGAGGGTAAAGTGGGGTGGGGTGCCAGTAGGGGAGCAAGGGGTTGTCCCCCAGAAACATTGACCATATCAAGGTGCTATTTGATGATGTTTGGGCACTTAAAAATTGTCTGAGACAATACATGAAATTCAGAATATTCTCTTTTGTTTTGTGGGGGATGTGAGGGGTGGCTAACTCTCCTAGAAAATTTTACAATTTAAAGTTGATATTTGGCGCTTCTGGGAACTTTTAAAGTGTATTAGTCGATAAAAACATTGAAAAACAATTACAATTTTTTTCAAATTTTGGGGGTGTCAAAGGGGGGGGGGGAGGGGTGCCAGAGGGGGAGCAAGTGTTTGTCCCCCATATCAAAATTTACAATATTTAGGTGCTATTCGATGAAGTTTGGGCACTTTAAAAGTGTCTGTGCCTAAAGGTGCCTATTTCCCAAGAAAATTTTACAATTTTAAGATGCTATTTAGTGCTTTCTGGGCACTTTCAAAGGGTATGAGTTAATAAAAAAATTTGAAAAATCTCAATTTTTTTTGGGGGGGGGGGTGTTAAGGGAGGGGGGCTGCCAGAGGGGGAGGTGGAGTGGGGATGCCAGTAAGTGTTAGTTTTCCAGAATCATTAACTTTATCAAGGAGCTATTTGATGATGTCTGGGCAATTTAAAAGGGTCTGAGACAATACATAAAACAAATTTTCAGAACTTTTCTATTGTTTTGTTTGGGGTGTGAGGGTTGGCCCACGACGCTATTTGGTGCTTTCTGGGCACTTTCAAAGTGTATGAGTCAATTAAAGAATTTGAGAAAATCACAATTTTTTTTGGGGGGGGGGGTCAAGGGGGGTGGGGCGCCAGAAGGGGGGGGGGTTATGCAAGTGCAAGATGCAAGAGGGGGAGTAAGTCCCCCAGAAACCCTAACTATATCAAGGAGCTATTTGATGATATCTGGGCACTCTAAAAGTGTCTGAGACAAAACTCTAAAATAAATTTAGAACTTTTCCATTGTTTTGTGGGGGGGGGTGAGGGGTGGCCAATACCCCTAGAAAATTTTACAATTTTAAGATGCTATTTGGTGCTTTCTGGGTACTTTCAAAGTGTATGAGTCAATGAAAAAAAAAGTACAAAAAAAAATTAAAAAAAAAAAAAAATTCAAATTTATTTTGGGGGGTGACAAAGGGGGGTGTGGTCGCACCCATCGCACCCCCCCCATCTGACGGCCCTGATAATCATTGGTGTTTTGTTACATTTATACAAATGTATTATGGTGCATTTTAAGTGAAATACTTATTAATATTTATTATACCGCATGTATGTTTTAAAAGCTGGTGGTGATTAGACTGTCAGTTAATAGCACTTAACATTTGTACCCTGCACATAGCCAGATAAATATTGAATTATTTACTGAGAATAGAAAATATTGATTACTATTAGAACTATTTTGTCCTTTTTTGTTTTGTTTAATCTCTCCAGAGTGACTGTGTTGCAAGACCAATATTTGAAGGAAGTGTAAATTTGGCTTTTGATATTGAACATCAACATGTAGCAAAATAGAAATAAACATCAGTTGTAGGCTTTGAACCAGTATTGGTAATTAATAAGAGTAAAATATACATTTTAAAGGTGTTTCCAGTCAGTATACAAATATGAACCTACCTTAGGCAAAGTCTAACAAAAAGACCAAGCTTGATTGATGTTAAACATTGATGACTAAATGTCTATAAACCAAATTACTTTTTCATTGTTTCAAGATACAAGTAGGCGTGGCTTCTTTTTTCCTTATTCAATGGGCTTGGCTTCTTTTCTGACACAAGGGGGTCATTCTATTGGTACAGAGAGACATTCTTGTTATATTGATGTATTGATTAGGGTGTGTGGCTTCTTTGTTGTTATTGATAGAACCTTTTTCATTGATACAAGGGATGTGGTTTCTAGTGGGCAAATCCTCCATGAGACGAGGAAAAATTGGTACTTACAAAACTGTGTACCTTTAAATACCTCATAGATGACATTTGTCTGTTTATAAAGTTTCCTAGTAAGGTATTTTTTTGGAGGATTAAATACCCACTCACCAGTTTTTATGACAAACCCTCAAAATTGTTATTAATAGTTAGTCATTAAAGATATAAGCCTTATATAAAATATAGAGGGTGGTCAAAAATGAGAGCTTCAATTTTTTTAATCAAAGGCTAAAGATGTTATTTATATCTACTATTTTATGTAGGGAATTTAATTGTTTACAGCAATGATTTTCAGTTTGTTCAATTATTATGGACTTGCAAGCCCATGTTCTTACATATACATATGTTCAGTGGTGTGGATCATAAAAAGGATATTGTGTAATTAATTGTTTACCTTATTCTGTAATAGGGACGCAGTAAACATTTGAAATTTCCCCTTTTATACTCCGTTTGAACCTTCAATCAGTATTGTTGATCAAGATTATCTATTGATACAACTTATTTTTGCATTTTAAGGTATGAGTACCGTAATCCAACACCAAATTCGAAAATTCATAACAATACTTTGCACATATGGCGTTCGTGACCAACTATAAAACGCTTACCCCCCATAGTGTTATATATCAAAATGTACCTGTTCATATAGGGGTTCGATTGATCTACATCAAATTATAGGGAGTCAGGTTACTTTTTGAGATATCAGCGTCCATTTATTGTGACTCGCGTTTGCTACCACTTCCTCAATTCTGATATGATAGGCAAACGCGTAGTATACATGCTCACGTCGGAACTATTTTTGACCTACATCGCTATTTTCGTAATTCAAATGAAAGTTGAACTCCTCCTCTTTATTTTGATACCAAATAGTGGCATACTAGGTACCCTAGAAGCCAACTATGGCGTTATTTAGAACAATACCACGAGTTTTTAAATGGACTATATAGGGGTCATACCTTTTGGCGGATGGATATGGAACCTCATACCTTAATGTGTTATGACATCACACTGATTTTTGTCTCTGCAACTTTTTTTGGCAGAAAATATCATTTCTAGTTCAAAAATGCATAAAAACGTCGGAACTGGCTGAATATGTGAAAAATTTATCCATTTAGGCTAGAAAGGGTTAATTTGCCCTACCCCAAATACGTCTAAATATGCTAGTCTAACTTTGCCACTGTGACGTCACAAATCTAACCTGACTATCTCTGAGTTTATTGAAGAAAATGATACGTCTGACAAACAGCTTTCATTCCCTATATGGCACACCTTCTACTAAGAGTTGCATCATTGACTAAATCTACGACAAAGGCCCTGTGTCCCGAGGATTTTGACTGAAATTTGGCCATTTTCGCCCAAATCTAACTAAATTGCAGTTTCCCTCACACCTGTATTTTGAAATAAATATTGCTACAATGTAGCAATTTGAAAATCACACATGCTTACTGTTTCTGTCGACCTGACACGTGTATCTAGCCTGTAAAAATGAAAAATCGCTACATTGTAGCAATTTCACTGAGATATGGGCCCTGAAAATCATGTAATTTTAGCAAAAAATGAAGAAATAACCTGCGATTTTGACGGAATTTCAGAGGGCTTTCTTTCATTCCAGACCCTCCACGGGCCTCTTATGACCATTCTTATACTCACAGAATGGTTGAAAGTGATTTCAAATCATTGTTTGCCCTACGCAGAACGAAAAAATCGATTCTGTTCTCAAATTCTGCTAGAATATTGGTCTCTGGCCAACTAGCAGACAATTTTAGGCCTCATATTAAGGTATGAGTACCGTAATCCAACACCAAATTCGAAAATTCATAACAATACTTTGCACATATGGCGTTCGTGACCAACTATAAAACGCTTACCCCCCATAGTGTTATATATCAAAATGTACCTGTTCATATAGGGGTTCGATTGATCTACATCAAATTATAGGGAGTCAGGTTACTTTTTGAGATATCAGCGTCCATTTATTGTGACTCGCGTTTGCTACCACTTCCTCAATTCTGATATGATAGGCAAACGCGTAGTATACATGCTCACGTCGGAACTATTTTTGACCTACATCGCTATTTTCGTAATTCAAATGAAAGTTGAACTCCTCCTCTTTATTTTGATACCAAATAGTGGCATACTAGGTACCCTAGAAGCCAACTATGGCGTTATTTAGAACAATACCACGAGTTTTTAAATGGACTATATAGGGGTCATACCTTTTGGCGGATGGATATGGAACCTCATACCTTAATGTGTTATGACATCACACTGATTTTTGTCTCTGCAACTTTTTTTGGCAGAAAATATCATTTCTAGTTCAAAAATGCATAAAAACGTCGGAACTGGCTGAATATGTGAAAAATTTATCCATTTAGGCTAGAAAGGGTTAATTTGCCCTACCCCAAATACGTCTAAATATGCTAGTCTAACTTTGCCACTGTGACGTCACAAATCTAACCTGACTATCTCTGAGTTTATTGAAGAAAATGATACGTCTGACAAACAGCTTTCATTCCCTATATGGCACACCTTCTACTAAGAGTTGCATCATTGACTAAATCTACGACAAAGGCCCTGTGTCCCGAGGATTTTGACTGAAATTTGGCCATTTTCGCCCAAATCTAACTAAATTGCAGTTTCCCTCACACCTGTATTTTGAAATAAATATTGCTACAATGTAGCAATTTGAAAATCACACATGCTTACTGTTTCTGTCGACCTGACACGTGTATCTAGCCTGTAAAAATGAAAAATCGCTACATTGTAGCAATTTCACTGAGATATGGGCCCTGAAAATCATGTAATTTTAGCAAAAAATGAAGAAATAACCTGCGATTTTGACGGAATTTCAGAGGGCTTTCTTTCATTCCAGACCCTCCACGGGCCTCTTATGACCATTCTTATACTCACAGAATGGTTGAAAGTGATTTCAAATCATTGTTTGCCCTACGCAGAACGAAAAAAATCGATTCTGTTCTCAAATTCTGCTAGAATATTGGTCTCTGGCCAACTAGCAGACAATTTTAGGCCTCATATTAAGGTATGAGTACCGTAATCCAACACCAAATTCGAAAATTCATAACAATACTTTGCACATATGGCGTTCGTGACCAACTATAAAACGCTTACCCCCCATAGTGTTATATATCAAAATGTACCTGTTCATATAGGGGTTCGATTGATCTACATCAAATTATAGGGAGTCAGGTTACTTTTTGAGATATCAGCGTCCATTTATTGTGACTCGCGTTTGCTACCACTTCCTCAATTCTGATATGATAGGCAAACGCGTAGTATACATGCTCACGTCGGAACTATTTTTGACCTACATCGCTATTTTCGTAATTCAAATGAAAGTTGAACTCCTCCTCTTTATTTTGATACCAAATAGTGGCATACTAGGTACCCTAGAAGCCAACTATGGCGTTATTTAGAACAATACCACGAGTTTTTAAATGGACTATATAGGGGTCATACCTTTTGGCGGATGGATATGGAACCTCATACCTTAATGTGTTATGACATCACACTGATTTTTGTCTCTGCAACTTTTTTTGGCAGAAAATATCATTTCTAGTTCAAAAATGCATAAAAACGTCGGAACTGGCTGAATATGTGAAAAATTTATCCATTTAGGCTAGAAAGGGTTAATTTGCCCTACCCCAAATACGTCTAAATATGCTAGTCTAACTTTGCCACTGTGACGTCACAAATCTAACCTGACTATCTCTGAGTTTATTGAAGAAAATGATACGTCTGACAAACAGCTTTCATTCCCTATATGGCACACCTTCTACTAAGAGTTGCATCATTGACTAAATCTACGACAAAGGCCCTGTGTCCCGAGGATTTTGACTGAAATTTGGCCATTTTCGCCCAAATCTAACTAAATTGCAGTTTCCCTCACACCTGTATTTTGAAATAAATATTGCTACAATGTAGCAATTTGAAAATCACACATGCTTACTGTTTCTGTCGACCTGACACGTGTATCTAGCCTGTAAAAATGAAAAATCGCTACATTGTAGCAATTTCACTGAGATATGGGCCCTGAAAATCATGTAATTTTAGCAAAAAATGAAGAAATAACCTGCGATTTTGACGGAATTTCAGAGGGCTTTCTTTCATTCCAGACCCTCCACGGGCCTCTTATGACCATTCTTATACTCACAGAATGGTTGAAAGTGATTTCAAATCATTGTTTGCCCTACGCAGAACGAAAAAAATCGATTCTGTTCTCAAATTCTGCTAGAATATTGGTCTCTGGCCAACTAGCAGACAATTTTAGGCCTCATATTAAGGTATGAGTACCGTAATCCAACACCAAATTCGAAAATTCATAACAATACTTTGCACATATGGCGTTCGTGACCAACTATAAAACGCTTACCCCCCATAGTGTTATATATCAAAATGTACCTGTTCATATAGGGGTTCGATTGATCTACATCAAATTATAGGGAGTCAGGTTACTTTTTGAGATATCAGCGTCCATTTATTGTGACTCGCGTTTGCTACCACTTCCTCAATTCTGATATGATAGGCAAACGCGTAGTATACATGCTCACGTCGGAACTATTTTTGACCTACATCGCTATTTTCGTAATTCAAATGAAAGTTGAACTCCTCCTCTTTATTTTGATACCAAATAGTGGCATACTAGGTACCCTAGAAGCCAACTATGGCGTTATTTAGAACAATACCACGAGTTTTTAAATGGACTATATAGGGGTCATACCTTTTGGCGGATGGATATGGAACCTCATACCTTAATGTGTTATGACATCACACTGATTTTTGTCTCTGCAACTTTTTTTGGCAGAAAATATCATTTCTAGTTCAAAAATGCATAAAAACGTCGGAACTGGCTGAATATGTGAAAAATTTATCCATTTAGGCTAGAAAGGGTTAATTTGCCCTACCCCAAATACGTCTAAATATGCTAGTCTAACTTTGCCACTGTGACGTCACAAATCTAACCTGACTATCTCTGAGTTTATTGAAGAAAATGATACGTCTGACAAACAGCTTTCATTCCCTATATGGCACACCTTCTACTAAGAGTTGCATCATTGACTAAATCTACGACAAAGGCCCTGTGTCCCGAGGATTTTGACTGAAATTTGGCCATTTTCGCCCAAATCTAACTAAATTGCAGTTTCCCTCACACCTGTATTTTGAAATAAATATTGCTACAATGTAGCAATTTGAAAATCACACATGCTTACTGTTTCTGTCGACCTGACACGTGTATCTAGCCTGTAAAAATGAAAAATCGCTACATTGTAGCAATTTCACTGAGATATGGGCCCTGAAAATCATGTAATTTTAGCAAAAAATGAAGAAATAACCTGCGATTTTGACGGAATTTCAGAGGGCTTTCTTTCATTCCAGACCCTCCACGGGCCTCTTATGACCATTCTTATACTCACAGAATGGTTGAAAGTGATTTCAAATCATTGTTTGCCCTACGCAGAACGAAAAAATCGATTCTGTTCTCAAATTCTGCTAGAATATTGGTCTCTGGCCAACTAGCAGACAATTTTAGGCCTCATATTAAGGTATGAGTACCGTAATCCAACACCAAATTCGAAAATTCATAACAATACTTTGCACATATGGCGTTCGTGACCAACTATAAAACGCTTACCCCCCATAGTGTTATATATCAAAATGTACCTGTTCATATAGGGGTTCGATTGATCTACATCAAATTATAGGGAGTCAGGTTACTTTTTGAGATATCAGCGTCCATTTATTGTGACTCGCGTTTGCTACCACTTCCTCAATTCTGATATGATAGGCAAACGCGTAGTATACATGCTCACGTCGGAACTATTTTTGACCTACATCGCTATTTTCGTAATTCAAATGAAAGTTGAACTCCTCCTCTTTATTTTGATACCAAATAGTGGCATACTAGGTACCCTAGAAGCCAACTATGGCGTTATTTAGAACAATACCACGAGTTTTTAAATGGACTATATAGGGGTCATACCTTTTGGCGGATGGATATGGAACCTCATACCTTAATGTGTTATGACATCACACTGATTTTTGTCTCTGCAACTTTTTTTGGCAGAAAATATCATTTCTAGTTCAAAAATGCATAAAAACGTCGGAACTGGCTGAATATGTGAAAAATTTATCCATTTAGGCTAGAAAGGGTTAATTTGCCCTACCCCAAATACGTCTAAATATGCTAGTCTAACTTTGCCACTGTGACGTCACAAATCTAACCTGACTATCTCTGAGTTTATTGAAGAAAATGATACGTCTGACAAACAGCTTTCATTCCCTATATGGCACACCTTCTACTAAGAGTTGCATCATTGACTAAATCTACGACAAAGGCCCTGTGTCCCGAGGATTTTGACTGAAATTTGGCCATTTTCGCCCAAATCTAACTAAATTGCAGTTTCCCTCACACCTGTATTTTGAAATAAATATTGCTACAATGTAGCAATTTGAAAATCACACATGCTTACTGTTTCTGTCGACCTGACACGTGTATCTAGCCTGTAAAAATGAAAAATCGCTACATTGTAGCAATTTCACTGAGATATGGGCCCTGAAAATCATGTAATTTTAGCAAAAAATGAAGAAATAACCTGCGATTTTGACGGAATTTCAGAGGGCTTTCTTTCATTCCAGACCCTCCACGGGCCTCTTATGACCATTCTTATACTCACAGAATGGTTGAAAGTGATTTCAAATCATTGTTTGCCCTACGCAGAACGAAAAAATCGATTCTGTTCTCAAATTCTGCTAGAATATTGGTCTCTGGCCAACTAGCAGACAATTTTAGGCCTCATATTAAGGTATGAGTACCGTAATCCAACACCAAATTCGAAAATTCATAACAATACTTTGCACATATGGCGTTCGTGACCAACTATAAAACGCTTACCCCCCATAGTGTTATATATCAAAATGTACCTGTTCATATAGGGGTTCGATTGATCTACATCAAATTATAGGGAGTCAGGTTACTTTTTGAGATATCAGCGTCCATTTATTGTGACTCGCGTTTGCTACCACTTCCTCAATTCTGATATGATAGGCAAACGCGTAGTATACATGCTCACGTCGGAACTATTTTTGACCTACATCGCTATTTTCGTAATTCAAATGAAAGTTGAACTCCTCCTCTTTATTTTGATACCAAATAGTGGCATACTAGGTACCCTAGAAGCCAACTATGGCGTTATTTAGAACAATACCACGAGTTTTTAAATGGACTATATAGGGGTCATACCTTTTGGCGGATGGATATGGAACCTCATACCTTAAGTGCTCTTATAAAAATCAGGAAAAATTGATTGAATATATGCTAACCCTAAACACTTAGTGAAATGTGAACTTTTTAGTTTGATGATATCATTTATGTTTCATGAATGGATTTGTATTATAGCAAATGTTTTCTCAATTAAATCCTTGCATTGGTCAGGCCTATAGCTCTACTTATCTTAATATGAGCCAAAAGTCAAAGTGAAGATTAAATGCCAAATGCATTATCCCCCATAAGAGGTTTTTAATTGTATTTGAAAATCCATACTTTTTTCTCTTTTGCATCTGATAAAACAATAAATTCTTGTCAAAGGAAGTTAGCAAAATCAATTTTTACTGATTTTTTTTCTTGAATGCAAAAATGAATAGCCCTAATGCCCAATTATAATGCAAACGTTTATCAATTGTCTTATCAAACTTTATTTATGAGCAATCTGAGGAAGTGAAAATGAAATGAATTTTAATGGTCATTATAAAATAGACATGGGAATACTTAACCAAACTCATCTGGCCCATTTATCTACTCCCTGGTTCTGAAATGTTGACCAATTGTGATGTCAAGTCACACTCATGTGAATTCTAGAATCATGTGGCAGCCATTTTGGAAATTTCAAAAAAGTTCCAAATTAAAAAGGCTAAATGCCATTTACAAATTGGAAACTATTGCAGAATCAACATAAGGTTTGTGAACAAATTTAGGATAAGGTTTCAATTATGCACAGGACAATATATTAATTGAATGCAGGTAGGTACTTTTATTGCCAAAAAGTTCAGTATCAAAAAGCACTCGTAACTACCACCATGAGTAAACTCGATTTTCACTGGTTTATCATCCTCCGATCACAGGGCTTCAAAATCCAGAATATCTTCTTTCTTTTTACCCCCTGCTATAACCAAGTTGGACGCGCCCGATTGAACTGAAACATGTGATCTTATTATGCGCCGATGACGTATACATGATTTCTGTCAGTGACAGTGTTGCGACAGCCAAACAAATTGCGAGTTCTTAATCGGGGAAATGCCAACTGCTTATAGCAGGGGGAAGAAGGAGGTACGGATTCTGGACACCTGCTTAGGAGGATGCTGGTTTATGAATAATAGATTTAAACCTAGGTTAAAGAAGATCTCTGCCTAGATTCAAACATGTGTTAGACCTAAGAAATATTGAAATTGAAACACTTTGTTTGAGTCCGTCATTAAGAAATTCTCCATCTAAAATGTCACTCGACTTTTTGGCAATTAAAAGTCCCTGCCTGCATTTAGTAGTCATATATTGTCATGTGCATAATTTTGAAACCATATCCTAATTATTTCACAAACCCTTTGTTGTTCTGCCATATTTTCCAATTTGTAAACAGCATTTAGCCTTTTTAATTGGGAACTTTTTTGAAATTTCCAAAATGGCTGCCATGTGATTCCAGAATTAACATGAGTGTGACGTGACATCACAGTTGCTCGTTCCTAGGTAACAACAAGATCACAATTGCTCGTTTCTAGATAGCAACAAGATTTTTGATAAAATGGCACGGAATTACCCTGATTAACACCCTTAAAATCCGATTTTCAAAGAATATATTTGGAGAAACAATAAAAGGTAAGTGGAATAAATTAGAAGATGGTTTCAAGTTACCACAGAAGTCAATTTGAAACTCAAGAATGCCTTCTTTGACTCATAATCACAAAAAAGTCGAGTGACATTTTAGATGGAGAATTTCTTAGATACGGCAACGGCTGTTACCTTCTGACCCATAGGCAAAGGCTGATACTGTCTTATAGGAATGATTTTTAAATAAAGATGGCATGGTAATCGATCTGCGTATTTATAAATCAAACTCCCGTGCAGTGATCTATGCTGAGACTATGCATGGGAGTTCGTTAATAAATATTAATACTGGATTCTGTTGGTGTTGCCATCTTTATATCGGCCCAGAACCTATGTTCTGATTTCTGACCAGTGGTCTTCCAAAATAAAAACGCAAGGCGTGCAACGTGACCTGTTGTTTGTATCACTCCATGTGATTACATTTGACCAATAGCAACAGCCTATTTAGCTCATGTATATAGCAAAATAAACGTGAGATTTAAGTGGAAGCATGGATAGAGCCCCGGGCTTGTGTACCTGTACCACCATTTCATGAATTAGCCCCTAGGATAAGACCAACTTGGTGGATAATCAAACCTGTGAGAAATAATATATAATGTGCTTTTTTGTCATAGCTCATGTCACTTAGGCTAGCTTCTGGTCTCTATGTAAGCTAGGAGACTATAATTGTCTAAGTACGATCCACATGAAAAAGATAAACTGCTAGTTTTTTCTCATTTAATAGTATTATGGTTAGATAATTTCTGAGATACCTTTTCAAAGAGGAGAAGAATGTGAAATTTTCTGTTAGAATACAAAGATATGGTTAATCCGCCCTCCCAAAGTAAAGATTTATTTTTGCGCAATGCGCAAGCGATCATATTGATTACAGAGAGTTGCGCCCAGTTTGGTTAGTCAGGTCCCGTGAAGAAGAACGTGAACATCAAATATGGAAAACAACAATTTAGGCTCGTTATTTGGTGCGGGATCTACCCTCAGGTCTTTGTTGGAGAATCCCAATCTTGTAGAGTTTGTTGCTCCTGGGCAAAACGCTGGTAAGTATGAGTAATATTGTGAAAATTAGCGGTGGTTGATTGCTAAAATCCTAAAATCATGTTTTGTTTACATTTGCCAATGGCATTGGAAATGAAAGGATAAATTATGGGTTAGAATACTTTTGGATTCTCACTGATCTAAGCTACGTTAGGTTTCATATAGGTCACAGACGAAGAAAGTGTTCTGGTGAAAGGAGATTGGGATTCCAAAATTTGTGAAGATGGGATAGTCTACATGAATGAAAAAAAATGAAATTTAGATCTAGATCCACCTTTTTTATCTTGGTGACTGTAATAGGTTGCATACATGTATACAATAGAGTACTCTTCTAATATTAAACCAGCCTCAATTTTAAAGTGTATATTTTTTATTTCTAACGTGATTTCATTGTTTTTTGTCGACTGGTAAGATCCGGCCAGGGCAATGCCAAGATGGATGACCCTTATCTCGTTCCAAGACTATCTCTACGTTCTAGTCTTGCGAACGTCTTATTCTTTTGCCTGAACGATTACAACATGGGAGAATTTTCTACGCTTCTTACATATTTAAGATACCTATTTCAATAGATTCCTTGGTATTTTAGCATTCTTCTCGTGTAGTTGAATCCACAATTGTGTGGGTTTATCGGCAGAACAAAGAAATTTTCGTTTTTGAATGCAAAATTTGCGTGTAATATTTAACTTATTTCAACCATCAAATTCTTCCATTTATTGGTTATCCGGCCTACTTCCGGGTCAGTCAAACGGGGAATCCCCTTTTAAATCCAACCGCCATCTTGGAAAGTTATGGAATATCTCTCGATGAAAAAGAAAAATGTTCCAATTCTGCCGATATACCCAAACAATTGTGGATTCAACTACACGAAAAGAATGCTAAAATACCCAGGAATCTATTGAAGTAGGTATCTTAAGTGTAAGGGGCGTAGATAATTCTCCCAAGTTGTAATCTTACAGGCAAAAGAATAAGACGTTCGCAGGACTATAGTCCTGGCACGGGATAAGGATGACTCTTGACCGATCAATATTACCAAGATGAGGGTTTCAAAGTTTTCGGAAATCGCTTCAAATAATATTATGTTGATTTCTGGCGAGCAAACCTATCTCTTAGGTTGCTTCTGCTTGCAAGACCGACGCTCTACTGATTTTGCCAAAGGGGCTCACAACAGCAGAGACTAGTAGCTGTCGAGGGTCATTTTAGGTTCTTTCGAGCCGTCTAAAGGGTAATTTGGGTATTATTATTAGTTGAATTGTCCATGGGGATATCGCCTGTTACGCTTGTACACCAGTGCGTATCAAATAAATTAAAAATGTGTTAAAATGCATTACATTGTAGTTTGTTTCTACATTTATTGATGATTCTGTATTTCGTATTTTGACCATTAAAGAGAGAATCAGATTTCGCGAGCAGCTCAACAAAAAATTGTTCCAATTTTAGAATATTTCTGGCTAATGTCATTCCTTTTCATGTTTATTTTCTTAAAATCCCCAAAGTGCACATTTCATTTCAGTAAAATTAAAGATTTCTGTAATAATGTATTATTTTGCTATAAGAATATTATTTGGGGGAAATTAAACATTTTCACTCATTTGTGCACTTTTAATTCATTATAACTTCACCAATTTATAACATATCATGAATCCTTTGAGAGATATTGTATTTGAGATTATAAGGAATAGATTGGCAGGTCAATTGAACACATTGCTTGAAATTTTAATAGAACTTTTCAAGTTGACAAACATGCTCAGATTGCATTAAAAAATGTTCCCAGGAAAACAGACCCCTGGACCCCCCCCCCCCCGCCCCCCCCCCAAGATGCCTGGCATTTAACCATACAATCAGAGATCCCCAAGTGGGCATACCAACTCAAAATATAGCCCTACGCCCATGTAGTCTTATCTTGTAACAAGACCATTGCTTCATTTTGGGCGTGTGAGCATTGAACTGTCAGGCATACATAATATTTCAAAAGTCCAAAAATAATGGCGCTAGCTATGCATATCTTTTTTAACCTCAGTCATTTCTAAATACCATTTTTTTAAAATTTACATATAATACAGGAAGTTATCTATAAATAATTGATGGGTTGTAAACATTCAGCTTTGGCAGTCAACAATTACCCGCATGAATTTCAATGCATTTTACCTAAGAAAATGTCTAATATAAAACTAATTCTGGATGAAATGTTCATGGCCTCTGATGGTAAAACTAGGAAGCAGCCATAATTGCATTTGATTGGACAGTGCGTGAGTTCACGCCTCTTCATTGATGTTGATTTTTTCATTTGTTATACTGATTGATCGAGAGGCTTATTTATTTTGCAAACAACCTTTGCTCAAACAAAGCCCTTTATTGTTCCTACTAACATATATATATGCTCTGTGGCTTCATGGATTAATGTATTATCCATTTTGACGCTGCATGCCTACAATTGCATTTGAGAATTGACCATTTTTCTATAAATGGAAAAATAGATGGCAGCATGGGTGTTGGTAGGGTCAGAATACATGGATCCATAGTAAGAGTCACTTTATTTCTTGATTTAACAAGTAATTTAATTTGAATCAATGTTAAATACCATTGGAATATTTTTATGATATATATAGTGGTAAATGGAATAACTATGCAAATTAAAGTTGTTTAAATAGAAAATTACTCCCCAGAAAATTTTTTTCAACTGGGAACAATTTTTTTTAGGCTGAAAAATTAAAAGCTCGCATCACACTCATTTCACACAAACTTTTGAAAAGTTAATAACTTTAAAAACTTTTATCAATATCTTCACTGACACTATTAATTAATGCCTGTCACACTTGTGCAGTCTTGCAAATGTTGAATACACATTCTTTCATTGAACTACTACAAAGACATAAGCATTATTGTTGTCATCAAATTGTCTACTGTATAACTGTATGTCTTGTAATTGATTTTGTGAGGAGTTCAATTGTTTGGGCTTGAAACACATTAAAATCTTGAATCTTGTCTAATTCTGAATTATAACTTACTGGATTGGCAGGCCATACACATCATGATAAACCATGACATCTCAAATCTTCTCAGCCCTGAGACCATTTTAGTGTCAATTTTACTATATTTTAGGCACAAATAGCCTATGCCATATCCTATGGGAATGTGCCATGAAATACCCTATGGCACCGTGCAATGGCATACCCTATGTCACTGTGCCGTTGCATACCATATGGCATCGTGTCATGGCATACCCTATGGCATAGGAGAGTGCCATAGGCTCTAGGACATAATTTGGAGTCAAATTCTTGCAGATTTATATGCCTCATGTGAGATCAAGTTCTCCACAAAAGCTGATTTCAAAAATGGCTACAGGTTTCAAAATGGCTACCTTTTTAGTGGGATACATAAGGCATACAAATCTGCCATTACATGGATTAATATGGTGGACATTTTCAAAGTTTCCACTCACTAGCCAAATTGTCATTAGAAAGTATCAATTATGCTTATGAGTAAACACATATCAGATATGAACAAAATAGCTTGTACCACCATTTTTATGTCCCCACCACATAGTGTGGGGCCATATTGTCGGCCTAGGCGCGTCCGTCTGTCCGTCCGTACGTCCGTCCGTCCGTCTGTCCGTCCGTCTGTCCGTCCGTCTGTCCGTACGTCCGGGAGTTTTCTCCAAAACCGCTACAGATATCACCTTCAAATTTTCAGGGATAACTTATGAGTGCATACAGATGTGGATGAAGAAATTTTAACTCGATACCTACTTCCTGTCGGCCATTTTGAAGTCAAATGCTAAAATCCTTGTCTGCAAACTTTAAGAAAAACGGCTTCACAGTTGCTTTTAAAACTTAAACATCTTGTTCAGCTCACTTCATTCTAGATCTGATTAGGTTTTGGAACTGTTAGCTCAGTCATGTCAGCCATTTTGAATGTCTTAAGAAAAGTTAGCGCACGATAATACTTTGTATCATATTGAATGGTGTTTTTGAGTTTTCATACTTTAACTATTTAGTAGCTTTATAAATAATTTCAGATGTACTTTGTTGTAAAAGCCTATGTTATTGTTAACAGTAGTTATATGTGATAATTTTGTTAGAAGAAATCAGCAAAAACACATAATCACTTTTTTATTGTCGGCCATTTTGGATTTTTCGGTCCTAAAATCTTGTCTGTGAAGTCTTGTCTACGTGTTTTCAGGTGAACCGTTTGGTGGATCAATTTCAAATTTTCAGGGATGATTCTTAGTATAAAAATCTAGATCTGATTTGTTTTTTGGCATTCTGGGTAAATGTCAAGGCAGCCATTTTGGATTTTCCGTCCTAAAATCTTGTCTGTTAAGTCTTGTCTGCGCGTTTTCAGGTGAACCGTTTGGTAGATCAATTTCAAATTTTCAGAGATGATTCTTAGTATAAAAATGTAGAACTGATTAGTTTTTTGGCATTCTGGGTAAATGTCAAGGCAGCCATTTTGGATTTTCCGTCCTAAAATCTTGTCTGTAAAGTCTTGTCTACGCGTTTTCAGGTGAACCGTTTGGTAGATCAATTTCAAATTTTCAGAGATGATTCTTAGTATGAAAATGTAGAACTGATTAGTTTTTTGGCATTCTGGGCAAATGTCAAGGCAGCCATTTTGGATTTTCTGTCCTAAAATCTTGTCTGTAAAGACTTGTCTATGCATTTCCAGGTCAACCGTTCTGTAGATCAATTTCAAATTTTTAGGGATGATTCTTAGTATGAAAATCTAGATCTGATTAGTTTTTTGGCATTCTGGATAAATGTCAAGGCAGCCATTTTGGATTTTCCGTCTTTAAATCTTGCCTGTAAAGTCTTGTCTACGCGTTTTTAGGTGAACCGTTTGGTAGATCAATTTCAAATTTTCAGGGATGATTCTTAGTGTGAAAATCTACATCTGATTAGTTTTTTGACATTCTGGGTAAATGTCAAGGCAGCCATTTTGGATTTTCCATCCTAAAATCTTGTCTGTAAAGTCTTGTTTACATGTTTTCTAGTTAACTGTGTGA